TTGGTATGCATAATGGATGGTCACAATTTAAGTCTATTGATAGATAGACTAAAATTAATAATAAACGATGTGATAATGAATATGAATATAACAATGAATATCGAATTATGATTTAAGTTTAACTTACAGTAACTTAACACAGTGGTAGACGCTTTGAGGATGTAGACGTTGATCGATGTCTTCTTTCGATAGAATAACTGATTGGAAAAAAATTTTTCATTATACAATACATATAGAATACATAATATGCACAGTAAATAAATCACAGTATAGAAATCACAGTAAATAAATCACAATAAATGAATCACAGTACATAAGAAGATAACTATCGAAGCCAATGGTTCTCGAACATCTGTAACATACAAGGGATTAGTAACAAGAGAGGGGACACAACAATATGCACAGTAAATAAATTAATAATATGCACAGTAAATACATTGATGGTTGTCGAATGCCTGCAACAAACAATGGGTTAGTAACAAGAGAAAGGACGAGTATGAGACGCGCGCCCACCCTCCGCGACGGCTCACGAGAAAGTGAGGAAGCTAACGCCGTTATAATATTGAGCGTACGCAGGTTTGTTCGTGTTGGATTGTTTTTGCCGGCTTGAACGACCTTCCTTGAACGACCCAAACACCGGATGATACAGCCAGGTCTAGTGTTGTATAAAGCTCGAGTCTTTGAAGCTACAAAGCTTAGCCGTAAAGACTGAGTCTTTAAGGCTACAATCATATGAAGCTCGAGGCTCAAGGCTCGAGCTCCAAGGCTCGAGTCGTCGAGGCTCGAGGCTCGAGTTTCAAGGCTTTGAGTAGTCGAGGCTCGAGCCTCGAAGCTCGAGGCTTTTATGTTTAACAGGTTCACTGCTGAGCGTGTTTCTGCTGGTTTTGTCTTCAGCGCCAAAGAGTGATTGCCCATTAAAATCATATAATAATATATTACACAATATGATTATATGTATTGTGCAAACTTGTCATGCGTAGTACATTAATCTTGCTGCCGGTCATCTATGACTCCCACGGCGTAAGAGTATGTTTCCAGTCGATCAGATAATACTATATTTTGAACATTACAGACAAATTTTTAGCAATGTTTCATTTCGTCTACTATTCAATGGTTATTTTGTTTCATTTTTCATTTCCCTTTCTTGGTATCAATCTCTCATGTGTTTGCAGTCATCGCTGTATTTTTTAAAAACTGTATAAAGTATAATATTATAGATTTAGTGTAAATTCCATTATTTAACACTTAAGGGTTCTAGAGGGTTGAACCTTAAAGCTTCAGACTTAATGTGGAATAACACAGTGACGATTGGCAAAAATTAAGTTTTTTATATATATACTTTCAAAGTATAATTTTTCGAAAATATTCTACCAGAATATTAAGTCGAATATCACGTGAATAACGAAAAAAATGTCCCAACTTTGATCAATGAACCGTGAACAAATTGAGAAATTATTTTGTTCGACGCGTAACATCCTATGACTCGTATATCTTGCTCAAGTATACATAGGTATTTTGTAATAAAAGAAAATTTAACGTATTGTCCAAAATATATATTTCGCAAGATATAAAACGAATAAAACAAGAACATGTAAAAAGTAACATTTATAAACATGTCCATTAACGATGCATTTAGAATAACTTGTCTTGTACTTAAGTGAAAACATATATACTTTTCCGTTTCATCTTTAATGACTGTCATATTTATCCCTTAACCTTAAACTGAAGCATCGGATATTTTTATTCCCGTCAAATCATATAGATACACACAATATGAATGGAATAACACTTCATTTGTGCTAATAATACCCAGAATTCATGCTTTATCGGTAACGTCGGATATTGACACTAAAATGGTAACAGGGCTACGTAGCTCCACGCAGCCCTATGAACGTGGGACAGAAAAAAGCATTGGATGATAGGTCTATTCTATACCTAGTCGGTGATATTACTACGTACATGCTCTTTACTGGCAGCGCGTACAACTTGTATTCCGCATGCACACGGTGTATACGATTGTGTATACGACCGTGCGGTGCATCAGCATGCGTTTTTGTATGGACGCATCGATTGCAGCGCTATCTGGTTAGTGGAAGATTCATGAAACTTTTGGTCTTCATTTAGGGATCCACTTTTTTCCCTAGTGGAAGCTGAGTTTATTCGTGAGGATACATATTTATTTATCATATATATCTTATATTGCATATATCGTATACAGTTTATACATACGTTTATGTTTATATGTTTTATATTTTATATTAATATTGAAATAAATATATAAAGTATAGTATGATATTTTATTCTCTCTCAACGCAGAAAGAACTTTTGTGTTGGGTATCAACCCTAGCCTCAACCCTCGCTCGCGTCGATAAATCTATTTACTTTATGCACCATCCTTCAGATCCATGGTCGGTTGATACATCTAGAAATGTATGATCTGTGACCGCGTACACATCTATTTGGAGGGGGTCTGTCGTTCTTTTCGTTCAACGCGTTGTTGAATGTGGACCGGTTGACGGAATCCGTTGCAATCTGTAATATAGAATATTTTAAAACGCTTTAAAAATGACTGAAACTCTTCAGCTAAGGGGTACGTTACGAGGACATAATGGATGGGTCACGCAAATCGCAACAAATCCAAAATATCCGGACATGATATTGTCTTCTTCACGTGGTGAGTTTAGTAACATACACTTCCTGTTATTGATCACTTTTTTTTACTAAATGCGCGTATGCATTATATATTATGAATACCAGTAATGTGTCTCTTACATTCAACTTTCAACATTCAATTCTAGTACATGCTTTCAATGAAAATTACAATTATTATATGAAATTATTCTATGTGTATTGTTTCATCTGTGCCTTTATGTTTACTGAAAGACGAAATATGAAGTGTTGATTATTTGTATTAACAGGGGAGTTAAACTTCATAATTTTACGAATTTTATTCTTAGATAAAACCCTGATAGTGTGGAAGTTAACACGCGACGAAGCAAATTATGGTATTCCTCAAAAACGTTTGTACGGCCACTCTCATTTTATTAGTGACGTAGTACTATCCTCTGATGGTAACTATGCTCTATCTGGTTCATGGGACAAAACACTACGTCTTTGGGATTTGGCTGCAGGTCGTACTACACGAAGATTCGAAGACCATACCAAGGTGTGAAATTTTACTTCTGATCTTCGCTCATCATTCGTCGTGAAATGAACGGAAGCTTTTTTTTTTAAATTTTTTTTTATTAAATGCCACGGGCAGAAGATAAACTACGTGAGTGATGGGAAATATACTGAAGCTTTTTTTTTATATATTTTTTTTTATATTTAAAAGTAGAAGAGGTGGGCAATTAAGTCTATGGTATTGTAAGTATCGATCATGTCCAATATGCGCACAGGTACTGTTTACAACAAATTACAAAATCAAATAAGTGAATATGTGTTAACAGGATGTTTTAAGTGTTGCCTTCTCTGTGGACAATCGCCAAATTGTTTCTGGCTCTCGAGACAAGACTATTAAGTTGTGGAACACTTTGGCAGAGTGCAAGTACACTATTCAAGACGATGGACACACAGATTGGGTCAGCTGTGTGCGTTTCTCTCCTAATCATTCGAATCCTATTATTGTGTCTGCAGGTTGGGATAAGCTGGTCAAGGTATGTCAGTATTTTCTACAAAAAATAATTATTCAACAATTATGTAATATGATGTATACTTTTTATTAAACATGATATTCGTGAGTGTTTGCGGATATGGGACTGATTTGAAAAATAGTAAATTATTTGTTAAAATTACTAGTTTGTATTATTAGCAGTAACATATGGTTTTTTAGGTCTGGAACTTGACAAACTGTAGGCTAAAGATTAATCACATTGGACACACTGGATATCTTAACACAGTTACCGTATCCCCTGATGGTTCACTTTGTGCTTCTGGTGGCAAGGTATATATTGGAAGAAAATACTGTATCATTTAATATAATGGAGCTTTATAAAGATTTATTAATAGCTTTGTAATTATTTATGTGCTCAACTTATTTGTCAATAAATATAAATATTTTCTTCCAAATTTTTAGGACTGCAAGGCTATGTTATGGGACTTGAATGATGGAAAGCATCTTCACACTTTAGACCATAATGACATTATAACAGCTTTATGCTTCAGTCCTAATCGTTACTGGCTTTGTGCTGCATTTGGACCATGGATTAAGATATGGGATCTTGAAACCAAGGAAATGGTTGAAGAATTGAAACCGGAAGTTGTATCCGCGACAAGTAAAGCTGAACCACCTCATTGTCTGTCGTTAGCGTGGTCTACTGATGGACAAACATTATTCGCCGGATATTCCGACAACACTATTCGTGTATGGCAAGTTTCCGTAACTAGCCGTTAAGCACTTTATACAAAAAGTAAAACAATAAAAAAAGGAAAAGATACGAAACGAGATTTGAAATCTTTTTATTTACATGACTGTTCTTACATAAGTACTAAACTACATTTCAAATATTATTTTTCTTCGCTCTGTTCCGATTTTTTAATCTTCTCCTCGAAATTTTTAAATTCCTTCTTCGCGATCTGATCGATTTCATCTTCTACTTGAATCACCCCAAGAACTTCTGGAATATAGAACTGCATCATATTTTGAACTCCATTTCTTAAAGTGACCACAGAACTTGGACAGCTAGTACAAGAACCTTGCATTTTCAGTTTTACTATACCCTCTTCGAACCCCTGTTATTAAAAGCATAAAAGTATAACTCGAATCAATTAGGGACTAGTAGCATGAAATTATTATTACACAAATACGTACCACAAAAACGATATCACCACCATCTTCTTGAACTGTTGGCCGTATACGAGTATCTAACAATTCTTTTATCATTTGCACTATTTCATCGTCGTCATCAGTAATTTCTGCAAATGAAAACATGATTTAATATTTGTCCACTTGGAAATTTATTTATAAACTATTTAATATTTGTTTTTATTAACAAAGAAACTGATAGTTTTGCTTGGTTCATAATTTTCTACTGGGAATAAAACATTTATTAATAGATTTTTAGCTATTAATTGTTGTTTTTGGAAAGTCTATTAAATAATCCTTAACAGATGGAACTGTTAACATCTGAGAAATCAGATAATTGCATGTACTTATTTGTTTATATAATGCTTTGTAAAATACTGTAAATAAAAGGAAAAAGAAATTACGAGTATCTGCTGCAGGCTGATCTTCATTTAACACTGGCAAACCAGATGCAAAGAAGTCCATGATGACTGCAAATACTTCTGGTTTTAATAATTTCCATTCAACATCCTCGTCTATTTTTGTAATCGTAATAAAATCAGGTCCAAAGAAAACAGATTTGACACCCTCGACTCGAAATAACATTTTCGCGAGTGGCGAACAGTAGGCTTCTGTTGCATTAGGAAAGTCTTTAGTTTGGCCTTGTTGAAGCACATTTACTCCAGGAAGAAACTTTAAACTATTAGGATTTGGAGTGTCTTGTGTTTGAATAAACATGTCACGTTTTTGCATATTGATGACACCAAGTTGTTTTGTAACAGAAAGTAGACATCGTTTTAAAGAACGAGTACTGCTACAAGTATGCATATACAATTCCGAATCTTTTAAGATTCTGAAATATGATAATATTGTTAATACTAAACACTATACTGTAAGTTGTGAGTATGTTTGATTCTACTGTAAACTTACTTTGGATATTGGTATGCTACCAGAGATCTGAAACTCAAACGTCGACCGGTTCGTAAGGTGTTTATTAAAATTTTATCCATTATTTTTTTATTATTTGATTTTTACTGTAAAAAGTCATTACTCGGACAGTTAAGGTTATGTTGTGTTTTACAATTCCAATTCTCTGTCTATTTATTCGCTTACGTTTTGCAATATTTAATTTATTTTTGCAATAGGCGTAGTTTCACGTTATTCTTGTGACAGATACTAACGGAAGTGACGCTACAAGTGTGGATACCTGTGTTATATATACATATGTATATATACACATATTACATACTTATTGTATTGTATTCACTTGAGTGTCAATCCGACTCAATCCGACTGTTTCACTTTATATAAGGGTGAAAAGTGATTATTGGCAAAACTAACAATAATTATTAATATTCGTTTTTTTATTAAACTAGCTCTAACCAATTCTGATCAGTATAATGCTTTGAAAATAAACAATTAAACCTCTTTTTTACTGTTTACAGCTTATGTTCTTTCACTCAATTTGCATTCATAGTAACGTTTAGGTTAGGTTTCGGTTACAAATTTAACTTGAAATTAAAGGTACTTCTGTATAATTGTTTGCGACATTTTAAAAAATATTTTGCCTTTTGAGGGAGTCCCTTTCAATATATTAAAGTGTGAAAGAAATCGGAGATACCGACCGAATTGTAAACTATTACCATTACTTTAACTCCTTTTATTATGAAAGAAATCTCACCTTTGATAATTGCTAAATCATGTCTAGGATCTTAATCATAAATAAACAAACAAGTAACAATTAACATGCTATCAATAACAATAAAGTATATTTACTGTAACATAAAGTGTCAGTATGTAACAACTCAACCACATTCAAATATAATTCAGTATGAAATTTCAATTGTTGAGTTCAGATTAGTTTAAAGCTAAAATGATATAATCATTTCAGTATGTATTAATACTTCATAATTGAAATAGATTAACTATTGCATACAATGTACTTTGGTTGCAAAGTTTATACAAAACTTTATCATTGTACTTTTTACCAAAGCTACAAAGTGTGTCCTGGAGAGTTATAGCTACAAATATTCAAAATATTTAACAGCGAAGAACACAAGTAATGACTGTAGATATACATGAATATTTAGATATGAGGCAGCAGACTGAGAGGAGTCCTCTTGTTTACCAAGTTGTGATACACATAAATCTTCACAGTCTTCTTCCTTGCATAAGTCACAAAGTGTAGCCTTACGGGGTTCATAAAATACTCTTGCTCTTCTTGCTGGACATAAAAAAGAGAAATATCTAAGAATGAACAAAGTTACTACAGTGATTTCTAGATGAATGCGACACGAACAACGGCGTTATTCCCACCACAAGGGGCATCCCCCTCTAGAACCAATTAAAATAGAGTAAACAGAAGCTAAGCGGAGGTTCGGCTTTGTGCAACAAATAAATTTATGAGGGGCTGAAAATCTTTCGGCCTTGCCATGAAGCGAATCCGAGTCCGTCGCACTCAACACATTACTGTATTTTCTTAATATCTGTACTATCTTAATATATATTATATTAGTTATAAGAAAAAGTTCATGTGGGATCATATCAACGATAAATTTAGAACAAATATTAGTTATTATTTTATAAACAATGTTGGTATCAATAGGAAGCTTGTTTTATCTAGTTTCTATATGTATATATAGTGTTTTCATTTTTCATTTATTTCAATGCTGTATTATCAGTATTAATCAATGAGATGGAAAGTTTTACATCTTTCTTGTAAATTAATTAAAAAAATTACCTGATTTCTCAGTATGCAATTGGTATTAATTTCATTTAATATTCACGTCAAATTTCTGAGTAAATCAGCATATGAAAATGTATTTTTTATACTAATATTTAAGATTCTATTGTTATAGAATTTAAATATTTAAGGTTCTATTGTTCTATTGTCATAGAATGTACAGGTTTATAGAATTTTTTAAAAAAAAGTTGGAAGATTAAATAGTGCTATATGGCCGAGCACAATTGTATTTTAACATGTTGACTGCCGCGTGGGCCATCGATGGACCACGATGTATTTTCCATTCAGGCCACTATGGTTATTTTGTGTAAAACGAAATGTGATCATGAAATTGTTTCATTATCAGCTGATGCATAATTATGTAAGTATAATGCAATTATACCATGGTAATGGTATCCATCCATGGCCCATGCGGCCTGAGCGGAAAGTCGCGTGAAATTTGCCCGACGAACAACGTGTTAAGAAAGTTATACATGATGAAGTTTATACCTCATGAACTTTTGTTTTGATACTTAAGAAATTGAGGCCCCCTGTTTGTTCAAATAACTTACACGAATCATAGTAGTCATATATAGTCACTGGTACTGGCTTTTGTTTTGCTACTTTGTGTGTTCTGAATGCAGATACAGTTGGACAATATTCTTTCCTGTCCATCTGTAATGTATCGTTAATTTAAATATAATTTCAAATTAATTGAGATAATATATACTCTGCATACCTTGTCGAAATATAGTATTACTACTGTGTCTCCGTCCTTAGTTTCGACGCGTTTCACGTTTTGCGATACTTCAAGACTAGGTAATGAATCTCTGTCTGCAGTAAAACCAGATGGTAGACTCACTTCCATCACAACCATGTTACTTTCATTGGCTTCTTTTGTTGGTACAAACCTGTTCAAACGAACGTTACATTAAGAATGTAAATCTACGTAATGTTTACGAAACACTGAGGATGGTCGACGCAATAGGGCCTACTCATGTTTGTTTACTGGTTGGAATTAAAAGACAACTAAATGGCTCAAAGAGAGCAGACGGTCGAAAAGTGAATAGTACTTGGGGTATTCTAAGTAAATGTTTTTATCAAAGAAGATATTCGAACGTTTCTCTATCACATCTTAAGACTCGGGCAACGTTTCTTCAATGTTCTACCCAAAGACATTTATTTAAAACTTCTCGCAAAGTATTCTTTTTTGAATACTTTGCCTGAATACTTTTGAACGCAAATTACACGAGGAATCGATTTGTATAAAACAATATCAGTTACCATTAACAAAAAACAAAATATACAATTACATATTATACATACACCATTAACCGGGCGGCAAAGATTTTGTCATAGGCAGGTAATCTTCTTTGAACCATTCAACTGTTTCCTATAAAACTTTTTTTTAAAATTGCAATCAGAAACGAGATACGACTTGGGCCAATTGCATCAACCACTTTGTATCATAACATACCCGGAGCAAATAGAAAGTTGTAAATGATTCGCATTGGAATTTTTATCAACCTGTGGGTCCAAAGTAAAGAGCGGCCAAGCACCGGTTACATTCAAATTATATTGAAATGAAATTTGAACTAAGGCGAATCCACTTCCACTACCTGTTATATTAACCAATCGCGTTTTTCTTGGAAGCTAAAGAAAGTACCAAGGATTAGAAATACACTATGTATTGTATTGTATGTACAAGGGTTAAAAATAATGAATAACACATGTACCATGAACTTACCACATGTTTTTGAAGTATCATAGAATTATCAGAATTTATATTCATCTGACTCTGACCGCCTCCCTCGTACATGAATGTTATTGAAATAGCATTGTTCTTTGATGCTAATTTCTCACCTAATTTTGCCAAAGCTTGGATTCCAATCACTGTGTCCTAAAAATGATGTAAACGCATTATTTAAGCATTGTACTTTTAATATAACAGTGTGTTTCTTCATATTTACCTGCGTAGATGAAAAACCACCTTCGGCATTTCTTTGTTTCACAAGCCATTTCATTAGAGCTACGGAATCAGTGACTAGATTACGCCTGAGATACGTTAATAAGGCATAAGACGTCATTTCTACGTCAACAGATCGTGGCAGAGAATACCATGGATTTTTGTCATCCTTGGGTACAGGTTTACTCCACCATTTAAGCTCTTCCTTCGTCATAGCTTTCGATTCCAATAAATTGAATGCAGCGTTCTCGTATGGATGCTTTGCCAAATTCAAGGCATACGTGCAAATACTCAAAGCATAGACATCGTCCAGATCATTCATATTGCGGACAATGTAATCAATTCCTTTGTTTACTGTGTTTTTGTACTTCCCGTTAAGGTCCTAAAAGTCCATTAAAATAAGTTTAACAGTTGATTTAGAAATGCTACATTACTAACACGGGAAGCAACCAACTATAATGCATTATCGCCGGATTATCATATGTGTACATCTGAATTATACAGAGCATCCCACGTACAACCGGTCCGTTTCAGACGATGAACTTTTATGTTTTTCGTGACGTCAACTTGAATGTGATTTCACATGCAGAAAATGCGTAGAGACCCAAGGAGGTCATTTGCAACATCTTTTGTAATAGTTCATGGGTAAAATTATGTTTTGAAAGAGTGCCATTTGCCAAATTTTATTTTGTAACATAAGTAAATTTTTTTTTTCAAATATGTAAATTTTTACTTAATCAGTGAGTGGGGCCGGTTTTACTTGGGACGCCCTGTATATACCTATTCGTGAAGTGTGCATACAAAAAATTAGAGAAGGTTGTTTATGTCTCTGCAATTTGGAAATACCGGCTGGCAAATTTGGCTTTATCGTTCAAATTAATTTTATGATACATCAACGCTTATTCAGGGAGAAACTCCAAATATTTTACATAGCACTGAAAATTTACAGTTTTTCTACTTGTAAATTCGATACTGTTACTTGATTCTTTAACCCTTATGTAGGCAACCGGGTACGCATTTCTAAATTTCCTTGCACAATTTTTTATGTTCTTGTATAAAACAACACTTGATATATTATAGGAGGGGAAAACTAAGAGTTTCGGAAAAGTATGAAAGTAAAATTATCTATGTTTATCTAATCTGTCCGAATGGGGGTATTCCGATTGCTCAATAACCGTGAATATTTTTGTTGCCTATACAGGGATTAATTTACAACTGTGCTATATCCTAGGCGCTACTGTACTTTCTTTGTAAGTGAACCAATAAACTTACATCGTTCTCAAGGAAAGCAATAAGAGTGAATGCTGTCAATGCAAGACCTTTCGCAGCTCCACCTTGCATGTCACGATGACTGACTTTTCCTACTTCAGGAAAGCTTCCATTTGGAGCTTGATTATTTGATAACCATTGCAAAGCTTCATCTATTATCCTATCTTCAACTGGAATGTATTCCATAGCCTGCTTGAAAGCTTTGGCCACAAAGGCGGTGAGCCTAATACAAAAGAAAAAATTATAACATAACTAAAAGTACTATTATTTATGTAAAAGTTTCCATCGCTTGTAAATTGATAGCATTAACACGTGTCACATATATTATTTTAACATTTAAGCTTAACGGAGTATGAATGAATTCAAAAAACCATTGATGAATTCATTGTTTGAAAATTTGATATCATCACTTCTTGGTGATGGAATTAATCAGTTACCTAAAAAGTGACGAAAAATAGTCGAGAGCAAGTGAAATGCTTCGATAGTGATTAAAATAAAAACTATTAGATTGCTGCAAAAGTTGTGACTCATTGTATAAATATATTAGGTGAGAATTTGATATTATAAAAAGATATTTGATATTATTAAAGTTATTTTCCGAATATTATTTCGAAAGGCGTATCTTTAAGATAATTAGCATCTTTCATTTCTATATACGGAAATAGAACCTAATATTACGTCGCTGTATAAGTTCTGACCCGTTTCTAGAATACATTACACAGCAATTTAATTATGTAAAAAACGTTAGTATTCTATGTTACACTCTGTTTGTTAACTGGATTTTATGCTCTCGAAATAATAAGTGCGTGGTTAGTTTCTCAGAACGTAGGAAATGTTTCTCTTTTCATCTTATGAAAAACTGTTGGACAGAACTTATACAGCAAACTTAGAATTACGTATATGCTGTAAACAACGATAGGAGTTTCTTTGCACAGATTTAATACAATACTTATGAACTTAATAAGTTAATCATTTTTATAACGCATACCATGTACTACCATTACTATCAGACATGCCAAATGCACTGAAAGATCCATCATCATGTCTATAAGTCAACTCTCTCTGGTAGCCTACTTCCATATACTTTAAAGCTTTACCTTGTACTGCTTGTGTTAACTGATTTGTATTCTGCAAATGAATATTTATATATACAATTAGTTTTCTTTCAAACACATTATGCCCAACACTCATTTTGTTTTGCAGAATGTTAAAAAATATGTAACATACATTTGTTTCATTCGTAACAGTAACGAGTGTACTACAGTCCGACGTTTCGTACAATATGGTCTTCAGAATTGCAAAAAGGTTAAGCAATACAAAATTAGAAACTAGTTCCTTTTCACTTGAATTGGTAATTGCATATGAACATTTAAAAATTCGTTAATTCTTTCTAAAGTAGACACTGGGAACACCCATTGCCGACGAATTATTTTCAAAACTATCCTTATGAAATATATCTCCTTCATTTTTTAACATTCTGTATTAAACAATTGGCTGTTACGTACTCACTTTGAGATAATTTAGAATCATTATGTTTGGAACGAAATTCAACATGTTTTGTTCTCCACAACCGGCAGGCAGCTTAATTAAATTTGCGAGATTTAAAATGCTTGGACCCAAAATATCACCTGATGAGAATTTGTTTTAATAGCCAATGGTTTTTGTTTGTAACGCAAAGGTATTCGTTAAAATAAAGTGAATCGAGAATAAAGTAGTAGTGGTAGAGCATTACCTACTGCTGAAATTTCAATATGCTCAGAACCTGGTACAGCATTTTTGGGTATATCTATTGTAAAATTGGACGACGTCCTAGGTGTGCTTCTAAGATCTAAGAAAGCAGCTTTGTTAAAGAACTGTGTTTCTCCTTCCGCCTGTGGATATATATTAAAAATTAGATTCCATGCTAGATCGACAATGAAATAGGGACGAAAGAAAATAGAGAAAATATTACTTTTACAAGTAGTTTACGTTCAACACTATCACCAGCTAATATACTATTTGCAGTTGCTTTAATTGTGATGTAACCCAAATCTCGTGGAATAATCATAAACGATACGCTGGAACCAGAATTAGCTTTCACTTCCACTTTCTTCTTGCGGTACAATTCTAGTTCTGAAATATTTAATTAGTTCATCTTGCTTTTATAATATTCATTATATAAAATACAATGAATTATAAAATTTGTGGGGTGAAATTTTACTTGGTACATCGTGCACATCATTGGAAACTTCCGCGAAATCGAACTGACCCTCATGCGTCAGTAACACTTCAGCTTCCACGGCCTTATTCATGTAATTAAATACAACAATCTGTATCGCAACGATTTCTCCTCGAATCACAGAGTAAGGTAGATCCATAGCAATAAAAAATGGTCTAAAAACTTTCAACTGAAAAGAGAATAATTCCTCTTTATCATTTTTCGCGATACAAAGAGTTTCGGATTATTTGTATTGTCATTTTATATTTACCTTTCGTGGTTCTTCAATGAGACCCAATCCATGAACGTCGTTCACAGAAAATGCAGTTAGTATCCACGATGTGATCGAATCAGGTACATTTCTTTTCAGTTCGTTCTTCCCATCGTACCTGGTTTCAATTTACATAATTATTTTGCGTTTTAATATTCTTTTTCTTTCTATTTAGAAGCATTACAATTTGTGACGGATGTACAATCTGAACTGATGTTTGACAATAGTAATATTTTACAAAGACTCAATCACCTCATTAAAAATAGGCAAAATTTACTTTGTATAGTACGAAAGAATGAATGATTAAAAAAAATACAATGTAAATATAATATATGTATAGCAGTCGTATTACGAACACCGAGGAACAGCCCACAGCTTTCATTTATAAAGAAATGTTCTGTACAAAACAAAGCAACATCGCATGAACGTTATTTGTCAAAGTTGTATATGTATACAAAGCGTGTATATAAAAGCTTTGTAAACTGACAGTATATAAGATAAATACCCTGAAGAGAAGTTTGTAAAAAGCCAGGTGTTTAAGATGTCATGCATTAGGAATACACGGGGCTTATTCCAGACAGGAGTTGGGATGCGAGAGAAGGCATAAGGACCTGCCAATGGTGGTCTTGTTGCTAGTTTGTGCGTAACAGGTGGACCAATGTCTGGTCGAAGTGTAGATGCACCATGAGACGAGCCTGTTATTCTACCTTCCAGTATTCCCGGCTGTCCTGGAATCCAATTCTATATATTGTATTATATCAGCTGAACCAACGGAATATAACATTATAATGCTACTAGAAAAACAAATGTGTTATTAAATTCTCTTTAAAACACACTGCAAACAGAAACTCGTTCTCTGATCTTTACATGTTTGAGATTATGAAAGTAGCGAAATCCTCTCTTAGAAGTGTTATTAACAGAGTGAATTGCAGAGTGAAAAGGTGAATTATAATCAAGCCATCACCTCGTAGTCAGTTACGTGAAATTACTCTGTTAAACACATATTTCCCGTCTACATGTATTAGTTAGTTTTAATGAAGAACTAGTGAAAAATGTATATATATATATATATATATGGGGTGTCGTTTTACTTCGTTAATATGATGGCTTAACATAGGTCCTTAAAAGTTACTTAACAGATGAACTAGTATTATCAGCAGGTAAAAATTTCAATGGCTTTACCCAGCGTCAAGCATTTGCCAAAGCCAAGTTTCAGGAAAATTCTTGCGTACTTTCATCTTCTCTGGTGATTTGAATGCAATTGGACTATTTCTCTTCAACTAAAGATTTGACTGTAAGTATTATATTATGGAGTGCTGAACTTGGGGATATTACTCTCATGCTACGTTACAAAGAAGTAAAAAATTTTAACCAATTTGTTACCAGATTAGAAAAATATTTGGCATCACGTATGATAGGGTGGGTAAAGTAATATTAGTTACCAATTTAATAAACCACATAATAATTTGTCCGAGTTTACTTACGAATTGGAAAATTTTCATGAACATATCCATTTGTTATAATGATAGCGCCACTTTCCTAAGAAAGAAATGCTTAGATTAATAATTTTACTGAAAAATGAGTAAAACATAAAGAAGACCAGTGTTTTATTTACACTAAAAACGTCATTTGCTGTGGCTGATCCACGACTCCAAAGATACCGATCAAAAAGTGAATCTGCGTATGGAGAGTCTTGTACCATATCATACGACTTTAATTCTTTATATACTTGTTCCTACAAGTGATTGAAATGGATTATTTTTATTAGAAGCTGCGACAATTTTTGAATTAATAAATTTATAGAAAAGTTACATACACGCGAAATATCATTGCCAGATTTGAGCAAAATAGACCTTTGGTCCACACCTAATAATCCAATGTATGAATTTGGCTTTGATGTAATGATCAAGTGGACATTTTCTCCTGGTCCAACTTCGTTGGGTGTTACTTTAATATCGACCTTAAATAAGAGAAGACTAATTATTAAAACTTATTAATTATCATTTTCATCATAGTTCAATTTTTTCAAATTAACTTACAAAGTTTTGAAGCACTCCTTCTAATTCTACATCCAATGCATCTGCGATAACTTCTGCATCATTTCCTATATAATATACAATTACGTGTGCAGTAGGAGCCATAACGTAGGTTGCAAGAAATCTAAAAGAAGTAGTACTTAAATACTTTCTGAACAACTATCAATACAGATTAGATTAAAAATGACTAAATACACACTTAAAAGTTGTAGTGTATTTGTCTTGCACATATATGGAACCAGCATCTAATATATCACCGCGTCCAAATATTTCATAGTTGATATATTTTAACGGAATTGTAGAATTTACTTCAATTTCAACGTCTCGATTGACCTGACAAAAGAATTATTGTAACTAATATTGTAATTATAATTGACCACAAACGTTAATACATTTCAGGCAACACACAAATAGACGTACAGTTGGGTTTTCAGTTTTTAAGACAGCTTGTATGTATTCATTGTTCTGAGACATAGCTTGATTTGTTGATGGAAACCATTCGTGCAGACCTAGATACTGTGCCTGTTGAATGAAAATGTTAGTAAGATATTCTTTGGACGCGTGTAAATCATTAGTCACTTTTGATAGTACTTAAATAATATTTTACCTCAATGTTCAAGGAAAATGATGTATTTTCATTATTCTTTGGTGGATAGAAATCGAGTTGTACCATACCATTTTTATCTAACATTTTATTAATAACTGTATATGCAGATTGATTGTAAGTATATCCATACATTATTGTAACAGGATTTTTGTTATCTTGAACTGGCGTTCCATCATGGTATGTCAATTTTATCTGTAGAAATCGTCTGTTACATAATCGGTCAAATAGAATTATATCAAAAGAATGATTCTATATACGTACAAATGCTGTATACTTTAAACCAGGTTTATAATACTCTGATGTTTTTATTAACTCCATTATGTATTTATGTCGGTGTAGCGTTACTTGCATAGAAGTATTTTGTCTCCTACCAGTTAAAGATTCTTCCACAGCCACATCGATCATAACTGGTCTTTCGTAATCATCGGATAGTCTGTAAACGACATACATTGTATGCAAACTATAGTATATTCTTTACAAAACTACCGAACAAGATATCTTTCATTTCACATACTTAAGTTCAGATTCAATGTCAAAATCAACTATCACTTTCCCATCAATAGGCATCACTTTTCGTATAGGTTGTTGGAAAATTGGTTGAATAACACTGGAGAAAATATCAGGATAAGCTGTAATCGTTGCCTCACCCTTCACTGGCTTGCCGTATGTATACCTAAATGATTTGCATTTGGAAATTAATAATTTGTATCTTAACTATTAATTAATAATTAATTAATTAATAAATATAACATTAATGTAACTGCTACAATTATGGAAAAGGGAAATTCTACAAATAATCTGTCATAAACATCTTAAAAAACAAAGTATACAGTATCGACTTACAAGGGGAACTTCGATTACCCGAAATTTTCGATTTTCTTCTAAACTTTGCAGTTCGTAGGAGACCTTTTCTTGCTACTTTTTGGTTCTACAGTTCTTATTTTCTTGTATATCTTGAAAACTATAGTAGGTATAAAAAGATGGTTACAATGAAAGTTTAATGACTTTCTTTGCTCTATAAAATTGGACAAGGAAATTATTAAAAATTTGTCGTTTAAATAAATAAATAAATAAATTTTTAACAACTTCATTACATAGTTTTATAGAAAATAAAAAGTCATTGAACGTCCATTGTAACTATCTTGTTAAACCTATTATAGTTTTCAAGATATATAAGAACATAGGAAAATACACATTAATTTTTAAGACTACTTTAAATGTTTTCACCCTGTAGAACTAAAAAGTAGCAAAAAAAAATTAACCCAATGCTTCCATTGAGATCCCCTACAAACCGTCACCGAAGTTCCCTCGTTAAAATACTGTTGAAATTTACTTACTTTGCACGGATTGTTGCAGTAATTTTTGAATCATTAAATGTGAAGTGCTTAGAAGCATCTATTGTAACTTCAAAATTGGGAAGAATATACTCAGCAACTTCAAACTCTTTCTCAAATGTTTGATCACCAATATTGGCAGTGATTTTCCAAGTACCTAACACAGGTGACTCAGACAATTCAATCTCTCCGTTAAATATTCCACGTGTTACAGGTGGGCGAATCCATTGTTTAATTCTGTTTCCTTTTCCATCCTATACAAAATTTTATATATGACATACATATAGTTTTGTAATTTTTTTAATTTACTAAATAGCATTGACCCAAAAATATGTACCGTAATGTAAATATCTATTAATCTGGCAAGAGTAGGTCTGAGTCTGGAATTCAATAACATGCATCTAAACATGACTTTATTCCCTGGTTTGTAAATGGCCCTGTCAGTCTGTATGAAGACTGAATAACTCTTATGAATGTATTCAACTGGTTTTGAACTTGAAAAATCTATTCCTGATAGACCACGTGCAATTAGTTGGTATCTACCAGGTATAACATCCCCAATCTAAAATATCAAAAACAATTGGTAAATAAAAATTATGTTCATTACAAAGACAAACTTGCACACTAATTAAATTTACTTCAAGCCTTAAGATTCTTGTGGAGTATGGTTGTATACGTGCTGTTTGGGACACATTGTATGTATCTGCATTGTTAAGCTGCCCATTCAGTTCAATGTATACTGTTGATGTTGTTGAAATACCAGTAGTACTTATTGCTACATGGTATTCTGAATCTGGTCTGACCACTTTTGGTGCAATTATGCTATAGAATCTTTAAAAGACATTTAAAATGTATTTGTAAATGTTTCTAAAATTTGTTAAAATAACATATATATATATATATATAAAGATATATATACATACGGTTCTGTACTTATGTTTGGAATTATATAAGACAGGAAAAAGATGTAGAACCACTGCAAATTCATTTTTGTAGCTTCTGTAAAATTTACATTAATTTCATTAACTTATATTGCACAAACATACATAGACTAACGTAGACATCTAAAATTACACTATATAAACAATGCAGATTCTGTGATGTAAGCGTGCGCGTAATTATTTCCTTTGACGAAATTATCTTTATCATCGTAATTTATCAAATTGGTTTTTCCATCAACGTGTATGAATTTCCTGGTAATAAAGATCATATTATGTCGTTGCAATGTCACGAATAGAAAAATGGAAACACCCCCCGCTTTGCCATATTTGGTGATCGATAAAATCAAGAATTACAACGCGCAATTATGATATAGATTTTAAAGTTAGATTTTTTTTTTTAATTTATTATACTATTTACATTCAAACGCATGACAATATAAAACAAAGTTATTATCCTTTAAAGAAAAAAAAAACCCTTTTTTGACGAGAAAACATTTGTTAAGCATTATTTCGTCAAATCATTCAGTCAACGGAATCTGCTCATTTAGAAAGTAGTACGACAGAAGTTTACATCCTGTAAGTCCTCAAAACCCGATTTACCGTCAAGATTTGTACCGACCTTCGTAATTCAATTTTAGAATTCATAAATTGTCAACAATTCGTGACTAATTAAATAAACGAAATCTTCGAAGGCATTTATTCATTTCGATTTATTACATTTTTATTTAAAACGAATAATAAAACAATAACTTATTATACATATTTGGTATACACCGCAAGATCGCGTCATCTCACAAAATAATCATGGATGGATGACTCACCTGTTGAATCTTTGTAAAGATGCTACGTGTCAATTCCGCTGGTCGTATACGACCGGGAATTATATTTTTCTTGCAAAAACCTTACGAGAAAATTTATTAACGAAATTGGAACACTTCCAAACAGTTAAACGAATACTAACTGGTACTACCGATCATGGCTCCAAGAAACTGACTAGTGCAGGTTTCCCTTCCTCTTGTCTGTTTTGCTTCTACTATATCTGTCACGCTTTTACCGTTACACGAGTAACAAGCCGATGGGATACCACTGTGTGATACCACAGACACACTTTACTACTCTGTATAAATTTCATCTCACACTAAATACCATTGCCCAAGTTGTGTCAATGGTTTAGCGCAATATGGCAATTTCTGCTCCAAAATGAAAACTTTGTTCTAAATGTTGAAGCAATATTATTGTATTTTTACAACTTTATTACGGACTAATTTATTAAAAATCTGACAGCACTGTATTAGCTTTCAATAAGAAAGGACTATGTGTGAGACGATTTGTTTAGACGTTTATCTTTTATTTATCATTTTAAAGAATCCATTTTCTACAGAATTAGGAATTCATTAACTATTAGTTGATAAAGAAATACTGATTAAATAATGAGTCACTATGTAGTCTGTATATTTAATTACAAAACCGGCATTTTTCGGAATTCATGATCAACCTTGGCGAGAACATCTGGCATAAGCAGTTTAAGTAATTTGTGTCAGCTTTTACGATGCAACGGCAAAGAAGGTTGTCGCGAAAAGGTACAGTCGGTTAAGGGGGTCAAATGTGCCCTTAGTCCAAATTGGATTGGTAATGACCATTCGATAGTATACCAAGCAAAAACAATTTCTACCAATTTTTAACCTTCTATCTTTATGACCAAGAGAGTATTATAGTAACGGAAAATCCGGATTATCCATTTTTCCTTCGTTTACCCTACTTAATCATATGCAAAAATTCTGTAACACATTAAATACATACTTCGTAGTTACCGGGGTACGTGTTAGAGAATTTGTTCTGATTTTTTGGTTGATAATCGTGGGCGTACAAAATTAAAAACACTAAAAATTGTTGAAAAATGCGGATTTCTTATTCAAGTTTTAAAGCGACTACATTTATCTTTTTACAGTAACGACATATCATCAGAATTGTCCTCAATTTTTGGTAATTTTTTGGTAAGGTATGTCGTAGTTATAAAAATTATGAACTGATCTTTTCGACGTTTTTCCATGAAAAAGTAACATATATATATTGAATTTTTGTCTTCTAAATAACAATAAAGTAACACAAACTTCTATTTATTATGGAAAAGAAAAACTACGAAAAACAAAATATTACATGGAAAAAAGTTTTCGGTCGATGGAAATTTTGGAAAAAAAGTCTCCGATCTGATTTGTTAATTTACACAATTTTTGGTATTAATATTTTGTTACATTTCCATGTGAATGTATTACTGCAATAATTCGTTGTGGCATTGAATTAATAATGTTTTTGCATTCTTCGGGGGAAATTTCTTCCCAGGATAATATGTTATTGCTTGGCGAAGTTCTTTATTCTGTGATTTTTTTTCACGTACCAGTTTTTTTAGTTTTGTCCACAAATTCTCGATGGGATTGATATCTGAACGATTCGCCAGCCATTTCATAGTTTTGATGCGATTATTGCGTAACTATATAACAACTTTGCTGCGGTGACAGCTAGCATTATCGGCTTGAAAAATAAAATTAGACGAATCTTGAAGCCAGTTTTCAATGCTAGGAATTAAAAAAGTGTCTAAATCGCGAATATATACTTATCTGAATTCATATTTTGGTACAGAATATATAATTTGCCTACTCTTTTCTCATTAATACAACTCCAGATCATATATGATTGTGGATATTTTTGTCTAAAATTTAAAGAATTTTTATAAAACTGAAAATGATGATCTTTGATCATCTGCTGTTACGATGCATATGCGTGACATGCACGCTCTTTATGTACTATACACCATTGTAAACGCTCTCTTTTATGTCTTTTTGTACGATATGGTTTCTCATTTAACATTTCTCATTTTCACATCTCATTTAAACGATTTGTAACCGCACGGTCAGAAACCTTTTTTAGCCCATTGCCGATTTATTTCTCTCGGAGTTGTCTCATATTTTTTTTAAGTCACTAACTGTACTTTGACTGCATCCTACGATTTGCGCAACTCTTCTTTGGCTATTTTCTTCCTTCAAAAGCTCGATTATTCTTAACTTTATATCATTCGAATACACTTTGCGTGGTGGCATATTGAACTTTTCGTTTGCTTGTGTACTGAATAAAATTGTACGACTAATTAACTGACTCAGAAAAACTGAACTACTTTTTGCATTTCTGTGGTCTCCTCTCGTGTTTATACTTATAATCTACCCTTCACATACTTAAGAACGTACCTACTTATTCTAACCATGATCAGAAACTTTTTCGAGGATTTCTCCTGAGCGGAAACTTTTTTCTACGTAACATTTCTTATCGTGTTTCTTTTTCATAATAAATGGAGGTTTGTAATTTTATCGTTATTTACTTCGTATTAACCTTCTTTTAATTTCCCATCACTTCTACCTTAATATGATAGCATTTTATAGTCCTAAAGTAATGAATATTCTCAGTGAATTTCGTATTAATGCGCGTGATCGGAAACTTTTTGCTAGGGCTTGTATTTACCCGACTGCCAAGAACGCCGTCCGAGCTAAACCGCTGGACGAAGTTTTCGACCGTGGAATCGAATCCCGCATTTAGTATGTATGTTCTTTTTATTACATGCATTATATGTTTTTTTCATTTTTAACTAAACGACAATGAACATTCACAGAAAAACGTCGAATAATCGGTTTTTAATTTTTGCAACTACAACGCACCTTACCAACAAATTTGCGAAAACTGGAGGACAATACTTATGATTAGCCTGCGGTTTTTATGCAAATATCACTTTTTCAAGATTTATTTACGGCATACAGACATAAGCAGATATTTCTTTACTGGGTCAAAGGTTCTATCAATTCTTACATAAAATGAAAATCAGACTAAAATTGATTAGACTTCTTGCTATGCTGAATTTCAGACAATTGGAAAAGCTATAACTGCATAAAATCCGCAGTCTATTTATGATAATATGTTATTACTGTTAAAAAATAAATCTAGTTACTCTAAAACTTCAATAGGAAATCCGGATTTATCAACAATTTTTAGCGTTCTTAATTTTTTAAGACTAGCATTTTCAATCAAAAGATCAGAAAAACATTTCTACACGTTTCCCGGTAACTACAATGTAATATGATTTTTGAAAGAAGTTTTGCATACGATTAAACCGGAAAATAAAGGAAAAACGGATAATCTCGGTTTTCTCTGTTACTAACCTCCTAGTCGAGATAGAAGGTTAAAAATTGGTATAAAATTGTTTTTTTCTCAGTATGCTGACAAATGGTCCATCGCCAGTCTAATTAGATCTAAAGGCACTTTTGACCTCCTTATCCGGCTACATATATCCTTTGTAATAAATGCTGAGACACTTCGTTTTTATACGATAGAGTTGATATTTTGTTCTTAGAATCCAAGTATCCCTATGTCATCGTTAAACATTTTATCGCTATATGTATGTGTATACTTAATTTGTTATGAAAATTGAATTTCATTCAATATAATAAGAAAGTGGGATATTTTTAGTAGAAATAATAGGATAATCCAGGTGTGAATAATACATAGAAATGTCTTAAATATACAGTTATATTTAGCCTATTAGCGGTGATTTCAACGCTCGCATAGAACGTCTATACCTCAGAATCGTTTTCACTACTTCTTAATACTCACATTATTGTTTCGGAAATCGTGTCTTATTCGGTTTCGAATACATTTTCAAAAGAAGATTTATTTGACATTAGTTTGGCCTCTTTATATTTCCTTATTAACGTGTCTGGATCAACTAAAAATCGTTGCCACAGTACATTTCTTTCTAGTTCAAAACCTATGCGAGTCTTCTGTAATAAAGGATGATATCAATTATTGTATCAGAAATAATGCTTTTTACACATTCGTGTCTATAAATTTACCATTTGTTTCTTCATTTGATTTCTCATTTTGGTTAAGTCCGTGTGTATGTTCTGCAATTGCTCGGACATTTCTTTGTAACTCGTTTCAATTTCATAGGAACCTGATTTGAAAGTGTAAGTTGGTCCCTTCTGACTTTCACTCGCAAGTTTCTCACTTATTTCGTTTCCCCTAAACGATAAAACTGCAATAGTAACCATGAAACTACAATACTGATCATGTTGTACAGAGAAACGAAAAAAGAAACACCTCAAAATCCCTATTAAATTTAAAAATAATGTTTTTTAAATAGCACAGTATACTTTTGATCTCACAGTGTTGTAGCTAACATCAAACAAATTCAGTGACATATAATAACATGACCGAATTACTTTCAACGTCAGCATTTTTATGGAAGGATATTTATAATCTAGTTACATGGAAACAAGAAAGAAAAAATCTTACCATTAGTATAATTTATATGCACACATTTTTTATAAATATTGTAATTCACCATAATCGAAAGGTCATGATCACACAATGTTATTAAACTTGTTTTGATACCACTTACAATACTATGAAGTCAGAAATATAAGTAGTAGGCGATTTAAGAAACAAAAAAGGAGCCAACAATCGTCAAATGATCTTAAAAATGACATACTCAATTAGTACAATTTTTCCTTTCCAAGACATATAGGTCGTTTGTTTCTCATGATTCACCATGTATTCCCTTTTATGAACATACAATACTTACAACATTTTCAATTTATCAATTCTAGAATTTGGATGTGTTTCTATTATGAATTGTTTCTTGACCCTGTTTTCATCTATGAGTTCGTTATATCTATCTAATGCAGAATCAAATTGATGTGCATTGTCGTCATTGTACAGCATAGAAACTAAAATCTTGTTGAACGAGTTATGTGTGTTTGGAGAAGATGACATAAGCGTAAAATACTCTTGCTGTTGCTGCTGCATACTTTCCTACATAAAAACCAGATTTTCAGCGATAAACTTCCATGAACTAATACTGTCTTTTGTTCTCGATTACTTACACATCTGGCCGAGGACAGCGAATATTCTGATGTCAGATAGTGATGACTATCAGCCACAAATTCAGAAATATCTCGAAGTCGGGAAAACTGTATCTGCATTAGGATACATAATAAGTCAGCATGAACATGCCCATGCTCACGCGCTAAAAATAACAAGTTCTTAAGCTCTTCCAATCGTACTTTTCTTTGTTTGAGTTTCGAACAAGCATCCTGTTTTAAAACTTTTTTCATTTCTAATTCTGCAAACTGTTGTGTAATGTCTGTCAACTGACGTTCTTGTAGAGACACACTTTCTTCCAAAAAATCTCTCTTTGAAGTTAATTTTGAAATTTCTGTCCTAATTTAACCATGCAAAATTAATATTTATATACAGTGGACTTTTTATTAAAATTAATGATCGTTTACAGTACTTGATTACCTCAATTCAGAGACTTTAGGTACTTTTAAATTGCCAGCATTGTATATATCTTTCACATGTTCTAACATCGCTATGTATGACACTGCTCGTATTTTAGCTAGAATTTCTTCTACCTTTATATTAGTTAAGCTATATAATAAAATACAAATTATATGAAAACCAACATATATATTGAATATTTAACCCTTGTGTATGCAACCAGATACCCCAGTACCCAGGTATCCATTGCTAAATTTCTTTTCACAATTTTTTATGTTCTTGTCCAGAACAGCATTTGGTATATTACAGAAAGGGAGAACTAAGAGTTTTGGAACAGTATGAAAGTAAAATTATCTATGTTTATCTAATCTGTCATAATAGAAGTATTCCGATTGCTCAAATTTTGGTTGCCTACACAAGGGTTAATCTGTAATTACTATTAGAAATAAGTTACTTTGCTTTACACAATGTTAATTCCTGTAGCTTTTCATTGTCTATATGTATTTCTGGACAATCATTAATTAAGGAAACATAGTTTGAGTCTTTTTTGTCCCCTTCTTTGAAAATATCTCCAAATTGATTTTTTATATGAACACCTAAATAATGATTGTACAGTTCTAGGTTTTTACTGAAAAGTTCCAGTGGCATTTGGGTCCATACTAATGGTACTCCTTTCTATAAATAAAATGCTTGTATTACAATGATTCAGGAGAAGCTCAATTAAGATACCTACATTTTCAGCTGCATCTGCATACATATTTAACAGACACTCAACTTCTCTGTAAAACTCACGATTATTTGCATCAAAATCATTCAAAATTGCTAAACAATCTTCATACGTTTTATCTGCCGTAATACATTCTCTGTGCAGGTACTCCGATTCTTTTTCAATATTCTCATCGAGCTGTGTTTCTACCTCTCTGTAGGAAAATTTTGGTTAAACATATTAACACAAACACAAATGAAATATGTACAATAACTGTCATACTTTAAATTACTAATTCCATTTTGTATAACAAGAATAAAGTTTTCATCTTCCTTATATGCATCTTTAACTGTTTCATATTCGACAAACAAATCAGTTATATTTGTGTCATCAAAGGAAACGATTTTTAATAAATCAGGACATTTCTTGGTGGCTTCTTCTAATGCACAGTCCAATTCAGGACCTTCCAACCATTCATTGTTATTTTGTAATCTATTTTTTCTGGAACATTCAATAAAAGAAAAAGGTGTAATTTACAATTTATAAAACACCTGTAAAATAAAATGTTATTACATTTGTAGTTCTTCGTTAGAAAGAACATTTATGTAATTCACATTCTCGTTGAACCATTTTAAAAACGGTTGCGCCAGTGGTTGCTCACAAATTCTTTCGAATATCTCTGGTGAAATGCCATTTGAAAGTTCTGGACGTAAATTTAAAATTTTATCGTTAAGTGACTTGCTTGAGACACTCATTTTTCAGTAGAAATTTTCAAATTCATGCATTCGTTGGTAAATGCTGATAAATATGAACTGAACCCAACTGAACCAATTGTAAAGAACTTTAGCAGTTAGCACGTTAGCACAGCCGACTCTAGTACTAGTCGTGCTGAACAACGTGGCAACACTGCTCATGGCGGATTCGAGAGTCTTATTTTCAACAATAGAGTTTTGTGCTCAGTGTTATAATTAACGTTATTTTTTACATGAAACCATACTAATACACAGTATTTTTGATTAATTATGCATAAGGAATACATAAATATCATAACTATAGTAAGTAGACGTAATATAGATGTATACTAATATTTATAAATGTGGTATATATTTTGTGGACACTGAATAATTTGGTGTTGTGATGCATTATATTTAAAATATTTACAGTGGTTTCAAGAAAATATAAGTGTGAAGCATGATAAAACAATCTTTGAACCAAATTGAAGCATTTAAAAATTGATAAAGGTATGTATAAGCGATTTGTTTATCTTGAGTGAATTTTCTCACTGCGATCGTAAGTCCTTGATCTTTAAACAGAAAAACGTATTCAATATGATTTTACGATGAATTACATTACTAATTGTGTTTGTAAAAATCAGTAATTATTCCTTCACTTTATACGATATAACTCGAATTTTTGTTTTGATGTCGTTAATATAAAATATACAGATTATGTGTCGCGTGTAAAGAACTGTTAGGTTTCTCCATCCACCAATCAGAAACGATCACAAGAAATCACTAATCACTGTGAAAAATCACCGTGATTGAGAACGAACGTGATCGATCACGAGTGATTCACAAGTAGCAGTTCACGCCATCTCTAGTGCTAATATCTGATATAAGTCTAGGAAAGTTCAATTGCACTGTGCTTGCACTAAGTTGCTCTCCCTGTAAGCGCTGCTGACTGCTGCCGCGCTCCACTCCACGTGAGTTAAATGCATTTAGGCAAAGCACGTTTATGCATCATATTATTATATTTGAGTTACGTTTAATATGTTTACTGACAAATTTTTCACAGATACAAGAATGTTGATCGAACCGAAATTAACAAATACTTCGAAAAATTTCGGTAAACCGCCGGAAACACAGAATCCCGTAAATATTAAAATTTTAGTTACATAAAAATACAACTCTGTTTTTGTTTATGTACCATGTTTTCTGAAGTATTCTTATATATTTTAGTTGCTGCAAAATTTAGGTTCCCCGCATATAGATTCTTTCAATTACATGTTAGAAGATGGTCTGTCAGAGGCTGTTAGAGACAATCCTCTTGTTTATATTCATCTTCCAAATGAAGATAAAGTTGCTCTGTGGGTTGACGATGTGTCTATACATCAGCCTACCGTCCCTACAGGTACTATTGGAGTAAAGCATCATAAGATTTATCCCACAGAGTGTCGTCAGAGAGGATGTACTTACAGAGGAAAAATAACAGTTAGACTGGGTTGGTCTATCAATGGTAAAACTCAAGAAGCTCTCGAAAGAGATTTAGGAGAAATTCCAATTATGGTTAAAGTATGTAACATAACAATGTAAAGTTAATAGTTTATATAGACTGTCTTATATAAGTGTCATCAAGAAGTTTCTGGACTTTCCTTGGACTATACAAAAAATTGTGTTAGATAAATGTACGGGATGTCCCATTTCAATCTTCATTTGATTATCTACACAATTATTCGTTTTTTGCAAAAGTATTTCAAGTAGAACTTACTTTATTCTTGAGGAGGAAATCATTTGATAAAGACAATTTTTTTTAATAGGAACTGCTAAGATTTAAAGGTGATCTTTGTTCTTTTAAATGAAACTATACCTTCTTTTTCAGCTGGTTGTATAGTATGCAATAATTATGTTTACAACTATATATATGTTACACAGAAAACACAAATAACAAAAAATGAGTAGTAGGTGTGCAGTGTTGCGTTACACCTGTACCTTTGAATATTCAATTGTATCTCAAGCGAACACCTTGATATACAGTGACGTTGCACATCTTCCATTGACTTTTTACTTGTTACTTGTGCTTTTCTGTAACATGTATAATTAGACTTTTCATGATTCGTTTTAATAAAAAATGTTGAAAAAATGCTATATCTTCATTTAAAACAATACAGGTAACATCCGTACCTCCAAAAAAAATGCAGTTGAAGAAACTACGATTTACGAAAATTATACAGACTTAAATATAGTTGAGCTTTTGTCTAACACAATTTTTTGTAAAATTCAAGGAAAGTCCTGAAATTTTGTGGCAATACTTACGTGGGACACCTAGTATATGTATATCTAGTTTACATTTGATCCTGTAGTCCAATAGGTGTCATTTGAGTAAAATGAGTCCAAAGGAATTAGTTAGTCACGGCGAACATGAACAGGAATGGGGTGGATACTTTATAATTAAAGGACTCGAAAGACTTATCAGAATGCTTTTAATGACAAGGAGAAATTATCCTATAGCTATTAAGAGATCAGGATGGAAAGCTCGTGGAATACAATTTAGCGACCTTGGTCTACTTCTGAGAAGTGTACGAGACGATAACACTGCAACCGTATGTATTTTATACAGTAGAATATGCAATCTAATAGACTACATTATATTACTATAAAAATATGTTTTGCAGAACAATACATTGCACTACGTAACCGATGGATCTGCAAAATTAATGTTCACGCATAGGAAGATTCTATACTATGTTCCACTAATCTTGATGTTGAAATGTTTGGTAGTTGTCTCGGATATTTTTATTTATAATGCGTTGACAGCTGGTTGCGAAGACGATCTTTATTACAAAGGTTGTATTTTAAACATGCTCAGAGCTATACATGAACAAGATCTCCACAGCCATGAGGAATGCAAGGCTTATATAGGCAGAATGTTCAGAATAAAATTTTTTGAATTGCCTCAAGATGCTACTGATACAGATGTTTGTGATTTCATTATTAAGTGAGTTAAATTAATTTGTTACTATGCTCATGTATTATTCTGTGTTTAATCGGCATTATTTTCAGGCATTGTATAGCAATACATCTTGATGATCCATTAGATAAATTTTATTTACTTGTTTTCATGACAAAAAAGCTGTTCGCTCTTGCGAACAATAAGTGCGCCGTTGAGGGAGCTGATGCTGTAATGATGCAAGAATGCCTACTTGGTGGGCATCTGTATTTACAAGTTTTGAAAGAAAAATTATATACTTGGTTAACAGGTCTAAAAATGGGTATTTTAAAGCGTGCGAGAAGTGCGGGTAACAGGTATACTTTAAGCGTACGTAAGTATTTAAACAACTATATAATCTTCAACCTTTAGTAGTTTATGCTTAAAAGTAATTTATTTTTTTTGCATCAATACAGAGGAAATGTTAAATGTAATGAAACACACAAGCTCGCTTGAATCGCAAATGGAAAATTTCTTGGCAACTGGAAATTTAAGGTCGCCAACTGGTTTAGGTCTTATGCAAAATTCTGGTCTTACAATAGTTGCCGAAAATATTAATAGAATGCGTTACATGAGCCATTTTCGTGCGATCCATAGAGGTTCTTTCTTCCAAGAAATGAGGACCACTGAAGCTAGACAATTATTGCCAGATGCATGGGGTAAGTTTATTACAATCAAGAAATTATTGTGATATTAACACGTTTTGCATCTAGTGGGCCCTCAACGGATTACGATAAACTTTTCGTTATTACAAACTTATAAACATCATACAGTGTACACAATAAACGTATTTGTAGTATGTTCTGCTAAAAACTATCAATAACCCATGTGGTACAAACAGAAAATTTTTTGTGAATTGTGTATAAAATTTTATGTATGTTTTAAAGTTCATATAATTACGTATACTTATAGCTATAGACAGTATTGAAGTATGAATAGCAAATACAGTATTGAACAAAGAATATGAAATAGCCAAAATGACCCAGCATTCACTGTACGAGGGTTAATAGGGGATGTAGTTACTAATAGTTTATTCGATCGTAGGCTTTATCTGCCCTGTGCATACACCCGATGGTGCACCTTGTGGGCTTTTGAATCATTTAACGATGAATTGCATCATTACAAAACACCCAAAACCAAAGTTGAAAAACAATATTGCTATAATGCTAATGGATCTTGGAATGATCCCCTTATCTATCGCTGACAATTGGAAGAATTCGTATGTTGTGATATTGGACGGAAAATTAATTGGTTTAATAGATGACAATATAGTTGCTAGAGTGACTGACAAGTTGAGATTACTTAAAATAAAAGGGCAAGAAGTAATGTCACAAATTTTATGCGATAGAACGATTAATTTAGGTTAACTTTATTGGGTTACACATTTTTAGATTCCATCTACAATGGAAATTGCTCTAGTACCAAAGAAGACTGTATCAGCCCAATATCCAGGATTATATTTATTCACATGTGCAGCTCGCATGATGAGACCAGTGATGAATTTGGCTGCTAAAAAGATAGAATATATAGGCACATTCGAACAAATTTATTTAGATATTTGTGTCACACCCGAGGAGGCTTATGAAGGAGTAATAAATGTTTTTTTTATATCATCTTATATTATCTACTGAATTTTCATTCACTTTGTCTTTACAGTTAACATCACATCAAGAATTATCAAAAACAGCTTTTCTAAGTAATTTAGCAAGTCTTATTCCAATGCCAGACTGTAATCAAAGTCCAAGAAATATGTATCAATGTCAAGTGAGACTTTTTACGAACTCTTATTCTTACTTAATGAATTTGCAGATACTTAATTGTATTATTTTGTAGATGGGTAAACAAACGATGGGCACTCCATGTCATATATGGCAGTTACAATCTGAAACTAAATTGTACAGACTCCAAACACCTACAACACCACTTTTTCGCCCTGTCCATCACGACAAGATCAATCTTGACGATTTCGCCATGGGTACTAATGCAATAGTTGCTGTTGTTTCGTATACAGTGAGTATAGGAAAAAAATATTTTTGAATATGCAATTTATATTCAATATTTTATAATATACCGTGTAAATCTTTAGGGATACGATATGGAAGATGCGATGATTATAAATAAAGCCGCATATGATAGGGGCTTTGCTCACGGGACAATTTATAAATCGGAATTTGTAGACTTGAAAGATCAAAAAAGTTATTTTGCTCGTAATCCAGATAAACCTGAGCTTGCAGAAAAATTGGATACTGATGGTCTCCCTATACCTGGTATTACTATTTCTGAGGGCGATGTTTATTACTGGTAGGTTATTGGTACAGTCAATGTTTCTTGCAGTGTTAAGCAAGACTCTATGTAAGATGAATTTACTTTAACAGTTACTACGACGCAGATCAGTCAACATATGTTACCGGTAAATATCATGGGAAAGAAGACGCTCGTGTTGATACTGTAAAACTCTGTGGCACATTGCACAGTCATATTCCACGCAGAGCTTGCATTACTTTTCGCATATCAGTGAGTGGAATATCAATTTGTGTAGTACAAATTAATACGTGCTGTCGATACTGATCAATTTCTCCACATTTTAGCGTAACCCAAGCGTTGGAGACAAATTTGCCTCGAGGGCAGGACAAAAAGGTATCTGTTCACAAAAATGGCCGGCGGAGGATTTGCCATTTACAGAAACTGGTTTAATCCCTGATATTGTGTTCAATCCCCATGGTTTTCCAAGTCGTATGACAATAGGTGAAGTCAATTTTCTTTTAAAATGTGTATTTCTATGTACAGAAATATTGAAATTATAATCTATGTATATTTATAGCTATGATGATCGAACTGATGGCAGGAAAATCGGCAGCCATACATGGATTAGTACACGATGCAACGTCTTTTAGGTTTAACGAAAATGAAACGGCTGTTGAATATTTTGGAAAATTGTTGGAACGTGGTGGTTATAATTATTACGGAACCGAAAGGATGTATTCGGGAATAGATGGAAGAGAAATGACCGCCGATATTTTCTTTGGAGTTGTACATTATCAACGATTGCGGCACATGGTTTCGGATAAGTGGCAAGTCAGTAAATATTAAATTTCTGATATCATTCCAAGAATTGTTATTGGTAATACACTACTTATATGTAGGTAGTAGTTATTATTGTCAATGCATCACTTACAGGTTAGAAGTACTGGACCGATAGATGTTTTAACAAGGCAACCTATAAAAGGTAGACGAAGAGGTGGAGGTGTTCGATTCGGAGAAATGGAAAGAGATTCGTTAATATCCCACGGCTGTTCGTTTTTGCTTCAAGATCGTCTATTTCATTGTTCAGACAAGACTACTGTACGCTTAACATTTTTTTTAATTTTCTGCCCCATCAATAGAAAATTTAATTCCTGGTACTATTGCTGTTACAGACTTTAGTTTGTCGAAAGTGTGGAACATTGCTGGGCCCAGTAACGGAGACAGCTATTAGCGTGTCAGGAGTAGGGAACAGAACAAGATGCCGTCTTTGTGGCGACGATGATTCCGTAAGGGAAGTTGATATACCATACATCTTTCGATATCTCGTAACACAATTGACATCCTGTAATATTAACGTGAAACTATCATTTGCAGAGAAATGAATGAAAATTCGAATGTACGTACTTTTGTACCATCTTCTAGTAATAATAATACTTTATTTTTCTTAACATTCCATTAAACATCTTAATTACAAATCCCATTAATATCACTCTATAAACATGCTCGTCTTATTATCGGGACGTCGCTTTTTTTTAATACATTTGCCGATAGAGTATAATTCTTTGTATCTACAAGCAACTATGTCGAAATTCAAAGGAATGTAGTTTTCAATCGAATTTTACTTTCGCACATTTACTACACCGGTTTTTACACGCAATAAAAGTATATTATACGAGTGAGATACATACGGAAGATAAATTGTACGGATTTCAAGAGAAACTTGCAACTGTAAAGGTGTAACAGTATAATTACTGCTCTACTTAAGCTTTTGCTGGTACTTGCGCGCCAGTTTTTGACCCTGGAGCACCTGACGTTCCTGTTTGCTCTTTTTCTAATTGTTTTCCTAAGTATTCCCTACGAATTAAATGCCCACCAGTTTAGTAACATTTAAGTATTATAAGTATCTGATATCATATACGCAGTAATTATATACCAATTGTGCACCATAAGCTTTTGAACAGCAAGAAGAGCTTCATATCTCACATTCGGATCTTCATGTCCAAGGAGTTGCATCACTCGTTGCTTACCTCCAAGTTGCTCGATTATACTGGAAGCATTGTAGACATTTAATAAGTAAAATGTTCGGAGAATCGGCTATAGAATGCAAAAATTTCTTTAAAACATACTGTTTGCCGCGTGGATAGTGTCTTACGTATTCTCCAATATCAAAGCTAGCTACGCTGAGAACAAGAGGGTCTTTATTAGACCCCAACAAGTGGACTAAAATACGCAGCAATTCGTAATTCTTCTCATTAAGTCGGCTGGCGTTCTCCCGCCAGAATTTGCCAGATTTATGAACGGGAGACCATTCAAGGCGTCCGGATTTTACTTCGGTCGAATATTCGTCGAAGGAACTTAAATCCTGAACAGATGCTTGCAATTTGTCGTTTAAGAATTCGATATCACCGGTGATATCTTCATCATCGAACTTACGTTGTCCCAAAATGGAAAGTTGTTTCAATACTTTGCACTGTACCATGGCGATGCAATGTTCTTTAGCAACTTGTGCATCCGCTACTTTCTCAATAAGATTCTATATGTAATATAGATAATAAATAAGTACAATACAAATCGAATATTTACAGTATACAAACTTACCCTAAATACTGCTAAAATAATACGAGTTACTTTCTCTTTCACAGAATCACTTATTATATCAGCCAAGATAGGTATTACATTGAATCTAAAATGCAAAGTATTATTGTTACAATGTTATAGAGGCAATAGTCATCTGTAAATGTGTGCTCTACAATGCCATACATACTTGTTCATTTTTTCTGCAAGTAATGGATTGAAAGTAAGTACCCATAAGCAAAATATAAGTTGATATTGCACTTGGAAGTTTACTCTGCCTGTTAAGACGCTAAGCAAAGTGGAAATTCCATCTACAGATACGAACGCAAAACGATATTCGTCTATACGAAGCATCATTTGCAGGCAACGTGCCACGGATTGAATGTATTCGTTATTCTGAATAAAAATGAAGAGACATGTATTATTTTAAGTCACACTTATTAAACAATCAAACAAGATGTTGAAATTATGTGTGCGCACAAAAGAAATGAAATAACAAAATCATTATCAATTCGAATTTTATGTACAGAATATCTTTTACCGTAAACTCTTTTTCTGAAATGTAAAACAAATAGTTAATATCCGTATATTAATTATCGTCTTACTGCAAATTTTATAATTTCATGTCCATTTAAGAAAATGTTTTACATGGAATATTACTTACTTGCATGATTGAGTTAAACTTTCTCTGTATTATATATGTATGTGTTATAATTAAATTTATATCGAAAGAATTTAGTTTTATTAACAATCAGTTATTATAAAACCAACCGGGTTCTGGTGTTCGTGTAGCTCATATGCCTCTTTGTCCACAGCGTTGCCTTGTTCTACTCCCACATGCAAGTCTGTGTCTTGAAGAGCCTCAAACTAAAACCCATGTGACTTGGTATATGCATTCGAATCTTAATTCAAGAACATTTCTATCTATTTTTTACCTTGGAAAAAGCAACATGGATCTGCTGCATGGTCAGTTGCAATATACCTAAGTTTCTGCACTGTGGTTAGTTGCATTTACAGTGTAATACTTTATCTGCAGTTTTATTTATACAACCGCACAATCGTGTATATGTAAAAGATATATGTTAAGTGAATGTACAATGAGACAGATAAGAATGCATATTTTTATGAGCTGTACTTTGAACTATGTTGTGTGAAATTTTATATTACAACTTAATAAATTTGATTGTTTATACAATGAGAACCCATCACCTAAATTGTGCACACACATAACTGTATTCTATAAAAATAAAAGCTAAGCAACAAATATAAAGCATGTAATAGAGAACTTATTTTTTTCTTTAGATTACAAAAGTTAATAAACATTTGTCTTTGGACTTACACTGAGTTTCAGTTGATCCTTGAGCCAGGTCAAGTAGAACTGAAGATCTGTTTTTTCCATTAAATCATGACTCCAACAAGCAAGCTTGGCAATAATACGAGAAGTCATGTTCATGATAAATCCATCCTGTCTATTCAGTAAATTTAAAAAAGGTCCCCATACTGATTCTCTTTTGCAATTAGAATGTTCTCTGAAGATTTCCACACGACTACGGTCTTCCTAATTGTAAAGACAACTATTCAGAAATATTTAAACAAAATAGATCACATATTTTGCTGTATTAAATAAAATTATATACCTGCAGCATATCATCAATCATAACAAGAATATATTGAATGGTCTGATCTCTTGAAACATGACCAAGTAAATTCAAGAAAGTCTTAGCAGCTTGATGTGGATTCTCTTTCAGCTTTGCCTCTCTTACACTAGCGTCGCTTGTATCGAAAGCAACTATAAAATCATGATCTTCCTTTGATATCATTTGAGACCTGTAAAATATGCGATACTTGTAGATGTATTCATGTATTCTCATGAAGTATTCTATAAAGTATTATATTATAAATTCTAGATAGTAAATTTGCCATAGTAGTCAAATTAATTTCAATATTCTTACCGTGAATATGACTCCCAAGTGATTCTTTGATTTCGAATATCAGCTGCCTGTTGTTGTAGAATACTTGTGGCTGCTAGCATATCTAAAAGATTTTAAGATATTATTACCATTACAATAGGTAGATAAAAAAAGTAAGAAAAATAAGAGCATAAGAATGCTTCTTTATCATATAAACATATTACACTTTTGGGAGGGGCAATGTCAAATTAACAGGGGACTGTTTCTTTTTTTAAATTGATTACCAATTTTCTCGTCTGGCAGAGCCGGTATCATCTCTTTAATATTTGCACGGTCCACCATTTTCGTTGTCGTCTTTTAAATTTCTCGATGTATTCCAATAAATCTCTGTCAAAAAATTAATTTCTGCTTCTCGACAAATTCGCACCTCCCTCAGCTGTTGGATCACAAGACCAACGTGTGACCAACTCCTGCCAAGTACATACCAAAAGTCTCTAGCAATAACGTTAACAGTGACATTTCAGGCTCCCAGTTAACCAGACCCACATAACAGTGAGATGCCTATGTTGCGTTCTCCTTAGGGAATTTTAAAGCTTCGTGGGAAATATGGCGTGAGCTAGCGCCTATGGGGCGCTTTTAATTGTGATTTTGAATTTAAGTATTCAATTAAATAACAATTTCAATTCAAACTGTTCACAATTCTTTAATTTTAATTTCAACACCTTTTTACACTTATGTAAATGAATTTACTTTTACAAATACTCTCTATGTTCGAGAACGCGTCTGGATAGTTGTAATGTCCAGAGATGAATGGCGGAAAAAAAGAAACAAGGAGCATCATCTCCTTGCCCAATTATAAAAACAAATACAATTTGTTTATTATCAAAATGTCTTAGATACCGACATCCAATCAGGAAATTATTAATTAATTAAAACGACTTCCTATTTGCCAATCCATTCCCTGTCATTTATCAACTGTCCAGTTTGCGAGTGTTTAACATCTTAGCATTGGTTTGCATATTAGGAGAGGGAGATAAAGAGAAATTATTCAAACATAAATAACTTGAAATCTATCCTTTTGGATGAGTAACTACTGATTTCAAATCGTTTCCTACATGTGCCACTTCACCTTTCTCCCATCTCCTATTACATTTCTTTCAAACTTCGCGCTTTCAACACTCGCATATCGATAACCCTAAATATCGCTTGAACTAAAGACACTACTAAGTAACACCTAAAAGCAGTAAAAGGTGCTTTTTAGGTGTCCCATAAAAAATACAGATATCTGTAATCCTGTTTGAACAAATATCTGTTCGGCTGCCGAATAAATATCGAAGGTACATCTTTTCGGCATCTTTTAGTTATCTCGTAGATGTCAATTAGATATCTGCTTCAGATATTGGAAAGATAACTCTATGGTATCTGTCTAAACTGGTCTAAATAATTCTAAAATAACTAGTTGCATCGAAAGGATATCGCAAAGAATATTTTTTAGGAATCATGAACGACAACATTCAGATATCCTTAGGTTATCGTTTTGTTATGTTATTGTGAAAGGAAATGGAAATGGGAATAGTAAATTTGCAAAAACAATTTTAAATAAATATCCCAGTCAGCCAGACCTGCTCTAAACATATACTACTAGATTCTGCTGTAGACCTGATGTGCAGATTAGAGATGACGTAAACTGCTACTTGTGAATCACTCGCAATCACTCGTGATTCGATCACGTTCGTTCCCAATCACGGTGATTTTTCACAGTGATTCGTGATTTCTCGTGATCGTTTCTAATTGGTGGAGGAACTTAACAGTTCTTTAGACACGTCACATAATCTGTATATTTTATATTAACGACATCAAAACAAAAATTCGAGTTATATCGTATAAAGTGAAGGAATAATTAGAAACAATGAAGAATAATGAATAAATTAATAATTATAAATTATAATCTACATGTTACCTAGCAAATCATTCTTTTAGAATTTCATGTTTTTTCTATTGATTTTTACAAACACGAATAGTAATGTAATTCATCGTAAAATCATATTGAATACGTTTTTCTGTTTAAAGATCAAGGACTTACGATCGCAGTGAGTAAATTCACTCAAGATAAAAAAATCGCAATCACGGTCGTGAATGAAGTTAAATCACGACCGTGACCGTGATTCGGCGATCACTGTGATAAATCACCGTTAGTGATTTTGCACGCCATCTCTAGTGTGATATGCTGTAAATGTAGTATAGTGTCTGCTAAACAGTACCATAGCATATACATATAGACGGAGCATAAGCTACCACTTTGGGCGAGGGGACCGTAGGATTGGAGGGGAAAAGGCAGCGGTTGTTAGAGGTACCCTCACGAGCATACTCGGCTTCCGTTAGGGGAAAAAGCGGTCTAGAAGAAAAGTCTTCTACCCCTTGGTAACTTTATTCCAGGTAGTGAAATAAATGGTAAATCGAATATTAATTTAGTATATATTTCCGTAACACCAAATACCAAATGGTAGGAGGTGCTTTCACCATTTCCCTACGTTACTTTTTTCCCTAGTGGAAGCCGAGTTTGCTTGTGGGTGTACGTCGGATAGCTTCGGATGCATTCGGTTCGATTCGGCTCGTTGTTAATGGCTGGTGCTCTGTGTGCCGTACTATTATTTAATGCTTTATACTATTTATGAAGTTTGTTAAATACATGTATCTATACAAACGACATGACACACGGAATTTTTAACGTAGAATAGGTATATTCTTTTCATCTCTCATAGCATACATGTATGTAACGTGATTGTATACCCGAATAGCACCAAAAAGGAACGAAGTTACCCGATTTGCTGCTATTCACCCCCTTACCGCGAATCTTACTACCCCGCTCAGTTAATGCTCCGGCTATATATGTCTATGACAGGAGTCGGCTGTGCTTACGGACATCTGCAGATGACTCTAGCTAACTGGGAGAAGGTCCTTTTCTTTACATCACTTTTTCCCCTAGCGGAAGCCGAGCTCGCTCGCGAGAGTATAAAGTACATTCAAAAATTATTATCTGTTATTAGTATTCTGGACAAAAATCATCTTCTCTTGCTCTTTGTTTTGTGTGGATTATCTTACCAGTCGTTGATGGTCCAACATTAATGTTATTTAGTGTAAATTATATATAACTCATAAAATTTATGTAAACAGCAACGTACTTGTTAGTGGAGTATCTATGTAGTTTATACTTTCAATATCTAAGATCTTTACAAGTGTTCCTTTGAAAATAAGAAGGTTAGTTGTCATTTTGTCGTCGTTTCGTTTTAAAAGTCAAAGTTCCCACAAATGTAACCAGTCTAGAAACCAGTGCTTTTACTAATTATGTCCACTGACTTTATTAAATTTTTAATTTACTTATGAATAAAACAATATAAAATATAAAAATAACACTATTTTTAAAGAATCACTACTATGAGCGTACAACAAAATGTTTCAGACGCGACTGTGATCGAATTAATTATTAGTATTGTGAATTTTAATAACAGAATAAGTATTAAATCTATTGTTCTGTTATATTAGGATAATAAATATGGAGCGTAGTGAGGTCATCTGTATTTCATCGGATGATGATGAGAAAACAGATCAGGTTTGTGCGGACTGCCAGTTGTTCTATATCAAATTGTTTAATTTGTGACTTACAAATTACTAATTCACAATTCCTGCAAATTGAAAGTCTTCAGTTATTCAAGGAGGTGTGTGTTGTTTGTTTTTACAGAATGAAGATAATGGAAAGAAAGTATCTGTCATCAAACAGTTACAAAATAATTGTGTTGCACCTGAAAAAATAGAAGTTTTTTCATCTGAAAGTGGAGAAATAGTTACCTGCAGGCGAAAGAGAAAAGCATCTGAAATGGACACTGATGATGGTAGTCCAAATTGTACAGAAGAGTTGCACAAAAAGGTAATCATTCAAGAACTTAGTCAAAAAAAAGATTCCAATGGAATAACAAATATGCAAGAGAAAGAAGAAAAACCTGTATTAAAACCAAAATTAGTCGTAAAAGAGAGTAAACCATTTTCTCCTGTTGTACAAGACATATTTCCTATGTTTATTAGTTTATGCTTGCAAAAGGATCGTTCAGAGGATATGAAAATTATTACTAACAAGTTAAAAAGACGTTATGAGCAATTAGATCCAGTATATGCTAATTCCAATGCTTTTCTTGATTTTGTAAATGAAAAGAGGAACGATATTATAAATAGTAAAAATAAGTTCTATGTATATATAGCGGATGTGATGAATGAAATGAAAAACAGGTGTGATGGGAGGTCTACTTTACTTTTAAATAGTAAAAAGCATACATCTGACGAACAGTATAATGAGAATTCTAACATAATTAGTTCCAATACAGCGCATACAAGTCATATCAATAATACAGGTATGAACAAAAAGAAAGATAGTATTAATGAAGATGATATAATGGATATTAAGAAGAAGAAAATTAAACTAATACTAAGGACAATGAAGGAATGTGAGATGCACATAAAAAAATTAGAAGAAGCAGAAGTAGATTTTGACGCCGAAGACAACAGCACTTATATTAAGTTAGAGAGATACAAGCAACGAATGGTGCAGCTTCATAGAAAATATTGTGAACTCACTGGTGAAAATATTGATGCTGGACGACAATATCTGAGGCCAAAGCATATGAGTACAAGTGGAATTGTGGCTGTAGACCGTGCTATCACAAACTTCATTAATTCTAAATTGTCGAAGTTGAGTAAACATAAAAAAGTTGGTAGTTTCACGGATGCAGTAATTTTTCCAGATTACAAAGATATTTTGGATTGCATTGGAAGATGTAACGAGTCACATAATTTGAGTTTAGATACTAAGCAACAGCAGCGGCTCGGTAAGTCAATAAGATATTTATTAAGATATATATTTTGAATTGATTATTTTTATTTACGATTTGATTTTTTCTACAGCCAAAAAAGCTTTTACCGAATTGGGAGAATATTTGCAACGTTCTCGACGGAATGATTATTGGGATACTTTCTCTTTGTTTCTTGAAAACCAAGAAGACGATCCAGCTTTAAAAAATCCAGAGTTGGCTGAAAAATTGATAGAGAACAAAAGGCTGGGTGAAGAGCGTTTAGCAAATGTGTTTGAATTGTATGTGAAAAAACAGGTAGAGAGTAAGAACAACCCGGAGGATGATAAAACATCCTCGGATGAAGAAGGTGAAGACGAGGACAGTATAGAGAATGAAGATGAAGACAGTAGCAACAAAGATGACGATATTATTGAAGAGGAAGACAGACTGAGTATAGACAAGGATAATAGTACTTCCGAAGAGGAGGATAAAGAAGAAGAAGAGGAGGAGGTCAATGAATTTGTGTTGGTGGTGGAGGAGGAAGAGGTGGAAGAGGAGGAAGAGGAGGAAGAAGTGGTGAAGGAGGGAAATGAAGTGGAGAAGGAGGATAAGGAAGTAGTGGAGGAGGAGAAGAGGAAGAAGAAGGAGGAGGAGGAGGAGGACGAGGAGGAGGAGGAGGAGAAGGAGAAGGAGAAGGAGCAGACGCAGGAGGAGGAGGAGAAAGAGAAAGAGTATAAGCAGGAAGAGGAGGAGGAGAAAGAGAAAGAGCATAAGCAGGAAGAGGAGAAGGAGCAGAAGCAGCAGGACAAGGCGATCGCTTCAAACAAAGACAAAGTAACAATAAACAAGGAAGATACAAAGGATGAAGTAGACGTTGACTATGTTGATATTATAGAGATCAATGAAAATTGTCAGTCAGATGCCAGTGACAGATTAAAAAAAACCGTTAATGATACTAATTGTAAATCAACAAAGTCGAATGATGTGAACATTTCTAATGTTACAAATAATTCTGAGCCACTAGTGTCAAAAGGAAATGATGGTACGACATCGTCTAACACTTCGGCTGATGTAACGCCGTTTACGAAGATAGATGCCTCAATGGTTACAGCAGAAGGTTAGTGTTACACACGTCTAATATCAATGACAAAGATATAACTCGCCAAAACAAACTAAAGGAAGCAATTTGATTTTGTTATATGTAGATGTTGTAGAGGATAGTAACCCGGTAGGAGAGAAAAAACCATTGCTACGACTACGTTCGTTTGCAAAGCCGCCGACGACGTGGAAAGATGGGTCTGGGAAAATAGATGGCTCAGATGCGGAACAAAAAACGACGACAACGCCAAGTAGCAAGGTCATCGTGGATCTCACGACGGAGTCACCGAACGGAACCTCAACTGCTCCCAACAGCTGCGCGGATGTTCAAACTGGTACCAACAAACTTATCTGCATGCGAGAAAAATTAAAGGAGGCTCTGAAACCGACACATACAAAGGTAATCGTCGTAGGAGAACTAGCAAACCATTACAGGAAGGCGAATCTTCAAAACAATCTGAATAGTGCGACGAAATCGCAAAATAAAGAAGAAGTCTCGCCTTTGTGTGGATTATTAAATATAAATACACAAATGCCGACATGTCCTGTGCTAAAGCAATACAGCAATCGGAAAACAGTTACACAAAAGCAAAATTCCAAATGAGACAAAACTGGCAGAGTTTATAAAATTAACTTAAGATCGTTACTTCAGCCATGAAATACGGATAAAATACCGAGTTACTTCCAGCGCGGGATTCATTCTATCCTGTCGAAGCCTGAAATGACTCGAACAGGAGAACTCTAGGCAACATGTTCACTCAATGGTATACGAAAACATTAACGAATGACGGATAACTAACAGACTGTATTCGATAGACTTAATAATTTTTTCTAAAAATTTTGTAATTCATGAACAGATGTTGTATAAGTACAAGAATACAATACACCTAATAAATTTTTGTATATACACCAAAGCATAGGTTTCAAACGGGGAACAGTTGAACAACAACTCTGAAGTTTTCTGGTTGAATCCTGCGGCGTTAGTTAGAAGACATGTGAGCCAATATGGTTTTCGTTAGAAGGAACTCTGGCTCCGTGAGTTTTTCCACGATGTCGAAGTGATCAACGTTCTCGCGAAGCAGAAGATACTGAACGTCATCCACTATGGTGACAAGTTTCTAGAATAAGTGACAAGATTGAAAAAGGCCTTTTAAATGAACAAACGCAGATGATATTATTAATGAGGTACCTGAGCGCATTTGCGTGATTCATTAATGAACTCCGGTGTATCACATTCTCCGTCAGTCACGATAACCTTCAGTCCTTGAATGGGTTTGCGCTTCGTGGTGTCCAGATCGATGAAACTATATGCTTTAATTTCATCCCTAAAATAAAACATTTCATTCCTGATTTATTATACAGGCTGTTTCAGATAAAACTGAACACTTAAATATCTCCTTTATTTTTAACGATGTCAGAAATGTTTCAAACACAGTTTGAACAGAATGGTTTTAAAATAGGAGTTTTATAGGTAGAAAATTTGTGTTGAATCTTTTTTGTTGTCACCAGTATGTTTTGGACGGAAAGCATGTACTCTTTTTCTATTACATCTTGTAGCACGTGTTATGATGCATTGAAATATCGCACTTGTGCTACAACAGTAACACAACTCGAAAAACGTGTTCATCGAGTTATCATTATGAGAAAGTTGCAGGAACACCGTTCGATCAGTCCTGAGAAGTTTAATCTATTAGTTTCATCAGTTAGCTGGCAGATGGCAATTATGTCACTCATATTAGGGAAACTGATGTTTTTGAGTTGTCTCACTTTTGTAGCAAGGGTGTGATGTATATAAATTATGAACTTGAGGTGACCATGAACATTTGAAAAAAATAATGAAATTCTGAGGTAATGTTAGGATGCTATGTGAACTTACTTTTTATGTATCACAAATGCTCAAAGTGATGTCCATCGGCGACGATACACTCTGTAAAACGAGATATCAGAAATTACGATGTTCTTTCAATTAATCCCGACTGTCATCAAGGTTGTAAGTTAGACATATTTGAATGCACATTCTACAGTATGCAATAGAAAAAATGTACAGAGTGGGGCAGAAGTCGCGAAACGATTTAAAATAAGAATAATTTTAAAAATATTTGACTTAAAATTTATTTCTTTTCAAAATAATAAAATATAATTTATGGAGATTTTTGTAAGCTAAGTATAAAAATTTATGTCACATAGGTGCTCGCCATTTTTGGCTTCACAAAGTTGGGCTCTTTTAAGAACATTTTCCATGACGTTTGTAAGAATATCTGGCATTAAATTCCGTATTTCGATTCGAATGTTTTCCTTCAGCTGTTCAAGGGACCTTCGCTTATTAGCGTACACCTTCTCCTTAAGGAATCCCCAAAGGAAAAAATCCGGAGCCGTTAAATCGGGTGAGCGCGAAGGCTAGTTAAATCCCGAATTTCGAGAAATTAATTGTTGGCCAAAAATCCGTCTTAAAATGTCCATGGTGGCTCAGCCAGTGTGTGCAGTGGCACTGTCCTGTTGGAACCACATCTCAGGATTATCATCGGTAACTGGTTTTAAAAAATTTTCCAACACATGGCGATATCGTTCACCAGTTATTGATACCGCATTGCCATTGTTGTCTTCGAAGAAGTATGGTCCAATAATTTGTTGCGATGTAACAGCACACCAGACCGTACATTTAATGGGGTGTAATTGTCGCTGATGGACCACCCTCGGATTTTCAGTACCCCATACTCTACAGTTTTGTCTGTTTACAAAACCATTTAAATGGAAATGAGCTTCATCGCTCATTATCAAATTATGAATATAATCGTTGTGATTGCTGGCCACTTCTTGCAATCGAACAGCATAGACGAGCCGTGTTTCATGATCTGTTAGTTTCAATTCTTGAACTAATTGCACTTTGTACGGAAACATCAGTAAATCTTCTCTTAATATCCTTCTTAATGATCTCCTAGAGAGACCTAATTCAGCAGAACGTCTTCGTGTCGATGTTCCGGGATTTTCCTGAATACTCTGCTGAACGCGTTCAATATTCACATTGTTTCTGGTAAAACATGGTCTTCCGGACCTTGGAAGGTCACATACCTCACCATGCTGTTGAAAACGTTGAATCATTGATTTAGAAGGTGGATTTCGCACATTAAAATAACGATGATAAGCTCTTTGAGTCAGTATCACTGAGCGATGATTTTCAAAATAAAACTCAATAATTTTGGTACGTTGAATAACGCTGTACGCGTCCCTAATAAATCTCCCAGGTATACTTTAAAAATTCTACAAAGAAAAAAAAGGAAAGAATCTAAGTTAAAGGAATTACGAATTTGTTCAACCGCTTCGCGACTTTGCTCCACCCTGTATATGATTTTCTGCAAAAAAATACCAGTGGCCATACAAAAATTCGAAAAAGAACAATCATATATATAAATTTTTTTATACGATACTCCTCTTTTAAAACCATTCAAACGGTGTTTGCAACGTTTTTTATATTATTAAAAATAAAGAAGATAGGAAGTGAAATTAACAAAATTCACAGAACCATCGAGGTACTCACTTCGTAAGCTTCAAGGCATCGTTAATAGTGGTACCAAGTAAAGGGTTTAGGTTATAAATACCCCCTATTAGGACCAGACCTTTCAACAAGTTCATGTATTCTCGCGTCATCATTTTATTCAGCCAAGGTTCGTCGAATAAAAGGCTCATCGCCAAATGTGCACCGGCACTGTGACCGGCGACCCAAACGCACCTGAACCAAATAATTCGTACAGAATCATTTAAATTTATCTTCGTTTAACCTTGGAAACACAAGCTAGGATCTGAATGTCCTCATAGAAAGTTAAGTTTTTTGGGAAACGTTGCGCTCAAATTTCGGGGATACAAATGCTTCCATCTATGTTCGGATGGATATTTATTTTTTATTATACTCCCTTGCTGTATTTTGTTTAACCCTTGTGTACTGTTCAAGTAATTGTTACACGGGTACACATTTGGTGTCATGAAATTGAAATTACAATCGAATTACGGAAACTATTGCTTCATATCTAGACAGTCACATGTATAAAGTATCCCAAAAAATGATGGAAACCGAATGTTTCGTTTGAAATCAAATTGTTTCTGAACAGCAAGCTTGTTACTGAAGTACCAAGCAACGGAACTAGAATTTTATTCTTCAGGTGTAAATGTTTGGTAATTAATAATCGTGGTTTTTTAGATCCTAGGGTTTCAATTAAATCGGAACACAAGATACGTGTGTATCCGGGATTAAATATTTGAGTGACGATTACACATACCTGCTTCCGTTATCAGAAGCCAATTTTAAAATTTCTTCGACGGCCATCTTTATCTCTGATATTATATCTCCGAGTCTGACTGAAGTAAATAATTACATGTATCATCGAGATTACTAATTATGAAGTAAATGGGAAGCAACGCGATTTACCTTGAGGACACAAGTCATAACCAATGGTTATCACTCTAATTCCTTTACCCACGAGCACTGGCACCGCGAATGTAGCCACATCTCTACTACCTTCTTGCCAATATCCACCATGGATGTATATGAATATTGGAGCGTCTAAAATAAAAATGAAACAGGATTAATATAAATCGAAATTGTTGCATTGAAATTATATTGTAATTAGTTAATAGCAAATGAAAGAAATGTTCATTTGTGCACCTTTGGGTAAATTGGTTCCGTAGACATCGTACTTAGTTCGATCTGTGCTCCCATATGGAACATCCAGTTTATGTTTTACGACTTTACGAGCCTTCTCCGTAACTGGAACAAATTTTCCCATTAGGAAACATTTTATAAGCGGACTCTCATTCTTTTAATTCGTGTAAAGTGAGCCGCCTCGAAAAATAGAAATTATTTTGGCGTGTTGAACAATCAGGTATCATCTTACAAATATTGAATTGTTGCGCGTGGAATATCTGACCTATCACCGACTCGATATCGTAGTCTTTCTAATTTATGACTAATTTTAAATAAGCTAAATTAATGTAGTGTTTTTGTAATTATCGTAAATAGAGCGTGGTTATTTATATAAGTTCGTATATTCATTGACTGATCCACAAGGACAGAAATTCCATTAAACTTCAATGCAATGCTTTTAGTTTCCTGTGTTCTGTATGTATATCTATGTTCACTACAAAATGCATACAATATAGAGTTCAATTATAATAAATCAAAATTTCTTCAAACAATTTACGTTTCACGTCTTTTTCTGTATTCTTGCGTCTAGTGAAATTGCCCACCTCAGTTTAAGATCCAAATTAACTTTACCCACGAACACTTAACAAAGAATATAGTAACGTAATATTATATCCCGTTTATACAACGACCAGAAAACCATTTTCATCCTTTATTTCATACCCGACGCTTTTCGTTGCAGTTAACTTTTAGGCTGCCGGGAGTATCCCTTTTGGTACATTGACGAAATCCGAAATTCAATAAAATGCACTTGTTATATACAGTGACTGCCAAAAGTTTCCGGTCAAACTGTAATTTCAACATATCTTTTAAAAAAAAAATACATATATGTATATAATACGAATAAACTGTTGATACACCCATATTGAGAATACATTGCTTCTTGAGATATGTGATAATACAAATTTTCTTCCATAAAAGTAGTTTGAGCTTTTGCTTCTAACAAATACAGGTCCGACAAAAGTTATGACAAAGATATAGTGAAATTATAGTTCGGGCGGAAACTTTTGGCAGACACTGTATATACATAAATGTTTAACCAAAAAAGATCACTTTTTTTACGACAAAATCTAATGGGGTTAATAAACTCGTCCGTCGCCGTCCGCCTACACCCGCCGGTTTTACCTGCCATGGCGAATTTGTAATAGTGCGCCAATATCTCCTCGTGCCCGAACCTCTTGCTCCATTTGCTCGGTGTGTACTTCACCTCGTGGTCCTGCACAGATGACACACTGATCAATCTGATCAATCACCCACCCGTGGATCATCAGCCCTGAGTAAGTAGGGCCTGTTAACTCCCATTAGAATAGTATGGTCAGCAGAATTAGGTACATACGTAAATTTTTTATTTCCTACGCAACATGTGTCTTAAATGTCGTAAATGTGTCGTAAACGTCGTATATCTGGAATGAAAATATTTATAACGTGTTTCTAACCTATAAAACGGTTAAACTTTACTTTCCCGGACCAAAAATTATTGACTTTTTTTTATACATCCCGGTAGTATTCAACGAGTAGAATCTGAAAATGCAAGTTTTAAGTTTAAGAATCCACCGGTTCAAAAGTTATGCGTATGTAAAACCAAGTATTTTTAGCGTACTTTACAGATTAGTTTAACGCCATATTGACTTCTATACAAAATACGTACAATTGTCAAACATACAATTCGTACAAATCTATACAAAGTTCGTATAGAAGTCAATATGGCGTTAAACTAACCTGTACAGTACGTTAAAAATGCTTAGTTTTACATACGCATAACTTTTGAACCGGTGGATTCCTAAACTTAAAACTTGCAATTATAGATTCCACTCGTTGAATATTACCGGATGATATAAAAAAAATTCAATAATTTTTGGTCCGAAAAAGTAAAGTTCAGCCGAATTTTTTTTTATCTAATATCCCTTTTAGCGTAATTAATTCAGAACATTTAAAAGCATTTATTAATGCACTGAATGATTAATATTAGCCTCCTACAAGGGAGGCACTGGTAACAATAATTTTGGATGCACAATATGATGAGCTTGTTAATTCTACAAGGTAAGATGAATCAGAAGATGGAGTATTACTAATTGATGGGTAGAAAAATTCAACAGTTAATAGTAAAACTGTTGTGGTCGTGGTCAAAGTTACATGCTACATGTGGCCAAAAACCTTTTCTAGATTCTTTGAACTTTAGTACAATAACAGAAACTGGAGAGGTTGAGGGTGAAGTTGTAAAACAATTAATTTCATTACTACTGACAGCTTTACATTTATTAATATTAATATTCTTTTCGTAAACGTTTTCAGTCTTATCTGTACACATGGTATTGCAACTTACCATACTTACATCATATCTATTGTTATTAATCTTATCATAAACATATTTATTTACTTGATTGAAAAATTTTCATTTTGTTTATTGCATACCCATTTATGCGGATCTAATCCCTTCACAGCTGTATTTCCAATATCACAGTTGCACACTGCAAAACGCTACATTTTCGCCTTTTTCATTCTTTCTCCTACTGAACCCCAAAGGTTCATATTGATTATGTTCTTTTCTACCATCGACTTTTTGGCAATCACAAATAATTCATATACAGTAGACATTCGTTTACTGCCGAACCCTTTATTGCAGCATGGGAACGCCCTTCGCTCACACGTATTTCTCACCACGTGCGCGCACCCCACTCTGTCGTCCAGCACGCCCAGGACGGAATACATACGGTGTCGCGTTTCACTCGTATATTTCATTACAGCTTGAATACAGGTTGAACTTTTCTGTTACTCCATATTAGTAGCATCTAAATGAATAACTTATTTTCCTGGAAAAATAGTCACATTGGTTCAGTTTTGCTCCTTACTGTATTTTGTTGCAATCTCTAATTTGTGTTTTTCAACACTTTTATACATAAATAAGATAATTAATAAGCAAATGTAGTTGTTAATCATTTTGTATGTCACAATTAAACAAATTCAAATATTCATATTATTGATTACATTGTTTTCAATAAAGAAGAATCAATGAAACTACTGTTCATTTATACATCCATTATAAACAATGGTCCAGTAACTTTGATCACATTAATTATCTTCATTATTTGTACAGGTATAAACAAATTTTATTCACAAAACTTATCTGGTATCAGAGGAACTATAACATAGCAGAAATAATTTTGTTATAGGTCGAGGAGAAATTAACAGTTTGTGACATATTTCACATTTTGTATATAAAATATCCCACGAATTATTAATTTTTTTCACATAGTACCTAAATATTTTATTACGCACAATGTTTAGAAGAATCCACTTACGTAAAAAAATATTTTTATTCCACAATATTTTAGTATCATTAAAAAGAAAACATAATTAATCTTGAAAACTCAGGATATCCTCGACCAACGAAAAAATTGTTACTGCAAATTAATAGCCCTTTCCATACTAAACAATTTCTGTGAATAAACTTCTTTGATATCTCCAAAAATAACGAAGATAATGAAGATGATCGTAAAATGCGTATATCCAGCCCACCCTATATACACGTAAGTCGCACAACTGAATGGCCGAATGGAGGGGAGAGCGCGCGGGTGATTGGAGTTTCCTTATTGCAGTATTCCTGGAATTCTGGCCCTCTGCAGTCCCGAAGGCTAGAATAAACGAATGTCTACTGTACCTGTATAATAAAAGTTAATTTGAGGTTATATTTCGTATTTACTATTACACCTACAATATTACATTTTTAACATTACATACGAAAAGGAGATATGTATTGTTTTTACTTATTTAAAAACGACACGTTATACAATACTAATTTCCAATACCAAGTGGTACGGGCATCGTAGGAGGCCCTTTCCCAACACTATTTTTTTCCCTAGCGGAAGTCGAGTCTGCTCTTGAGGGTACCCCCGTGGTCCTGAGTCTCTCGAAACAGCAAATAATTAGATCGATAGGTGCATACGTACCGAAATAGACATTTGCGATTATTAGCTGCCACTGATCACGAACGATGGGACTGTCAAACGTTCCGATAACCGCGGGTGTCACTTTCGTTGGCAGTACCAGTCTCCTTCGGATACTATCGCAGCCAACTTCGGTCGTCTGATAAAAGCTGGGATTTTTGCGGAACGTTGGAAAATATCGCCGCCTGCCTGTCGGAGTAACACTTAGAAGATAACAACATTGTCTACGAGTCGACTGTTTTATTCACCTTAAATTCGATTCTAGCCTCCGTTGGGAACTTGCAATTAAATCGTCTGACACCAGCGAGGTGTTTTTCGGCTACAGATCGAACCACTAGTTACGTACCGTCAACGCTCGCGAAAGACTAAACCTGACTAAACCCAACAACGAGCTGTAAAGTGAACGCTTGTGTCCCCGTAGTCAGGGTTCTTGTTTTTTTCTCTCTATGGAGCGTACGACGATGTACGACTCTCACTCCTGGTGTATTAAATGTCGGATCAGAGCGGGTGAAATTGTCGGTGGACAGACGCGTGATATTTTCGTCGCTTATGGCAGGGATGTTCAACACACGCGTTTTTCTTTTTTGTCATTCTTTATTTATTTTTTATCTTTAGTTTACGTTCCTGTACATTTGTTGTCTTCCATATTTGGTGATCCAGCCACTGCATTGACATTAACAAACATGTTTACATTACCCACAGGTACAAATCTGCATTACGTATTACATAAATGATTACAATGCATATAATCTGAAGGGAGTATTTTATCGTAATTCGTAAAAAAAAAAAAACGATTTTGTATACTAACTAATACTATTTACTAATACTAATTATTAACCGATACTACTTTTATATTAACCCTACCACATGAAAAACTTTAAATGTGTTTTTCTCAAACGATACTTTTAAGATTAGCGCATATTTTACTCAGAAACTATTGGGCGGATCGACTTGGAATTTGGCACGCACACATATAGAGTGCATTTCAAGCTATCGCTCGGCCTAAAAACCTTTGAATATCTTTAAAATTACTACTCCGGGGCATGAGAAATATAATTTTTTTTGTAAATATCTTACAGACTTTTTCTTTTAAAGCCCTGTCATTTTGTCAATTCCTTTTTTTACAATATTTATTCTAGTTCTGGCGATAGCTACATTCATGGAGAATAAAACGGAATTTTGTTTGTTTTTTTTCGGACGACTAGGACGCACTCAATGCGCCTGATTGCGTCTGTGTTTTAAACGCTATTTCGCGACGTGACTTGCGCGCCTGTTTGTAATTGCGACAATTTTTAATAAAATGTTTTACAGAAGTTTGTGTTATGACTTTAAACGTATATGTATAAAGATGCATGCGAAATCCCAGCTTACTATGAAAGTTTGATTTTTTTTTTCTTTAAATCAATTCCCAACAATTACATTGAAAACGGACGTCTACACTAGAATATACATATGTATTTCTAGATTCTTTATTTAGAGGTCGTTCGCTCACAAGACGATCGTTGTTTGACCGAGTGTTATCTCGACGCGTACACGTCTTTATCAATTTTGGTAAATCGTTATGCTCGTATTATCAACAGTTAAGATGGTCTACTTCCATTACAAACATACGAGACGCGAAATTACAATGTGTGCGCGGTTACGCAACGTCGTATAATCGGTAGAAACGTGTCACACATGTCGAACATTCCTGTAAATAATTAACTGTTTAATGGATTCCTTGACCTGTGGACAGTGTAACAGTACTCGTAAGCTAAGAACGCGTAAATTTATTGGAACAGCGGATACGTAATCGCGGATTATTTAGGCGACATATGATACATACCCTGCTGGCCTTTATTTATGAATTTTTCTCATTTCTTATACAGACTCCTCTCCATTATCGTCCCGAACTCGGGTCCGCGCCGAGACAATAATCTTATAAGGAGAAATGCTTCAGACCTTCGTATATTTGTTTTTTACTCGAAGCTCGAGCCTCGGAAACAAAAGCGAAAGGGCAACAAAGTATGCGCTTGACAGGCTCCACGGCCTCCACCCCCCCCCAGTGGTGGGGATGACGCCTGGACAATAATCGTGTAGAACAAACCAGACGATAATTGAGAGGAGTCTGTATCACTTTTTTTTCGTGTACATTGCTCATCGCAAGAAAAACTACACTCCTGTCTTAATTTGCAATGCTTTCTGAAACATTTAAGGTGCGTCCCCATCATGCCGATCGGCAAAATCGAACATATGGGGATATGTCATTGGTACGTGCTAACAGGTCGCGCGGTATAATGGGAAGCAAGACAGGCCGATTGGTTTTATTGATCAGTTTTACCGATCGGCATAATGGAAACGCACCTTCATGTGGCTGTTACTTTCTCATATCACCGCACAATTAATTGTAGGGGTTATTTTCTTTGAAAATGCCCATTCTTTATACTCTTGTAGTCTGATCCGACTACAAACTTGATGCAGGGAATATCATTAAAAGTAGCATTTTATGTTAGTTGGCCTATACACGATTTTTCCCAAATGTTTTCAAATTGAAGGTAAACAGCAATTTTCTATACGACCAACCAAAATATATTTTTTATTTATAATATAATGAAAAATGATCATTGGCAATGTCGTTGAAATTCGTAGATATAATTTTTATACGCTATCCCAGATAGCACATGACATCTTGAAGACGTCCATTTTACGGCTATCTTAGGTCTAAGGCGCCTTTAAGCCATCTTCAAGGTATCATTGGGCGTCATGTACTATCTGGGATTAAAATGTATTAGTGGATGTTTAATACCAATTAGTAATATGATTCTTTATTGACTAGAGAATCAGGTATAAACCACCTTAACAAGGGCTTACGTGTCTAGAGGCCCTGTAGAACTACATGAAAACATTTTACAAGTTACTACGGAGCAGTCGTCCATAATTATCAAAGAATCGGCGTAGAAGTTGAAAATACATTAATCACTACTGACAAAAAGTAGTTTATTCTAACGAACATACATATCGAAAAAACTGCATTATGTACTTGCATGGGATGATCTAATAGATGCATCAAGGCGTACAGGTACGGAACTCCATAATAGCTGCATTAAAGGGAGAAAAAATGATACTACAAGAAGTTTTATAATACGACGAATCTAAAAACAGGACTTTAAAAAAACGAAGGTACTGACATACTTCTTGTAGTCTTTGTAAAACAGTAGAATGCACAGCGTAAAACACAATTTCAATGTAACACAACGTAGTAACCGTGCTGACTTCATACAATATTGATTTTTTTTATCATTGGTTCGCAGAAATTTGAGTAGAATCTATAGAGGATTTGTCGTGAGTGAATAATAGTAATTAGCAAATTTTCTTCTTTTGAAGTAACAGTGAAAGGAAAAGTTATAGTGGAAGATGAATAATAGAAGTATCGAAACCATTCTTCTTTTCGAAATAATGACTTTATAAAATTGTTAAACGTATCGAAGAATGATAATTTTGAAGGAACAAGCAATAAATCGATTTCAAAATTTTGTAGGGTAACTTCATTTAATAATTTTACGTGTTGTTTAATCTAATAGTCCTCTCACTTGGGAACGTATTAATATTTAACATCTCTTTCATTAAACAAAATAGTTTTATACATTTAATATGAAGAATAAATTAATAATTAATTAAAATCTGCGAGCAATCGCATTGTTCCTATAACTCGCACCTCGAAGATTAAGGTAATTCTTTTATACATACTTTAAAAATTCAACATACGTTATGTTTTTATTATGTACAATAAGTAAAGTGGTAGTATTAAAGACACTGGTGGTAATTGAGACATTTACCCTGGGCCGTTTAAATTGGCCACTGTCGTCCGCAGTTGCCTAGGGATAGGGTTGCCATCCTTCAGAATTTTCCCAGATTTGTCCTCTTTTTTAAGGAATCCAGGAACGTCCAAAGGGATTTTCTGTAGTAATCGAGGTTTTTTGATAAGTTAAGTTTGCGTATTTTATAAGTTATTTTAAATCACAAATAAATTCCTACATTGTACAAGTATATTTTATCGTTATTGTTTGATTTTGGTTACAGTCTATAATTTACAGCAATCTCTGTCTTGGGATGTCGTACCTAATGCAAAAAATAGTTGGAAGTGTCCGGGTTTCAAGTGAAAATGTCCGGGATTTTAATACTCTCTGTTCTAGATTAATGATTTTACGGATGGCAGCCCGTTCCCACGGGCAATGTCGATGCCTCTTAGTCCCAGCGAGAAAATATGTAATACAAACCACAAACGAGTACACACGAAGTTGACAAATCGACTCGTTATCCTCCTGGTTAACGAATCGAGCTGAAATTAACGACTAATGGCCTGGTAACGCGAGATTAATTGGTGTCGTTACAGCCTAATTTCCCTTTGGTGGCTCAATGAACTGCCGAAATGAGGCATCAGCGTACCAGTTCGGAGTAAAACCGTGTATAAACGCAAGGTTGAAGTCACTCTACGGGCGTAGGAGCGCTAAAGGGTGAATTATATCTGCTGGAAGGTATACACCGAGGCTGTTGCACGGCCGATGGGTGTAGCGAGAATAGGCTACGAGGGTCGCGTGGAGAGATTGAAAACCAGAAAAACCGGTCCTTTCCTTTTGGCCCCACTCTTCCGTAACGCGCGCCATTCTCTATGGAGAAGTCACCAGGTAGGCCCCCGTAGCCAGCTGATGTATCGAGTATCCGTGCCAAGTCGACGCCAACCCGCAGACCGCAGGTAAGGGAAACCTTTTCTGGTCGAAAAAAAATTACGCGGGTTCAAGGGATACTTTTGTCCACAGAGCCGAATGCAGCGGGGAAATACGAGCGGGGAGGGATGGAAACGACGTCCGTCCATCCGAGATCCACGACCCACATTATGCTCTCCGTATCGATGATCGGGGCATCGTTTCGATCGTCTGAAGCAGCGATGAGCAACCTTCGTTTTCGCAACGGGCCAAAATTGGCAAAACACAATATAAAACTCGAGAACGGGCCGCTGCAACTACAGTATTTAAAAAAAAAACATAATTTGTTAAGACAAAAATGATTAATTAACATCACCTTTCATTTCATTTATATTTTTTGTTTTATGCACTTTAGTTGATTAAAGTGGGTTTTACGAAAAACTTCAACGGGCCGCGAGTTAAGAGGACACACATATACACCTAAAAAATTTTAAATTTTCGATTTGTCGATTTTTAGCCTACTCTTAAAGTTGATTTGATAAAAATTAAAGGTAATATACAAAAAATAAAGACGAGTGCGTCCCAGCGCTTATCTCACTGGCCCAAAGGATGCACGGTTCAGTGCTGTCCCATCATGTAGCTTCCGATCGTAGGTGAACTTGAGTGCACCGCGAATCGAAACCCGCAACCAACGAAGGCTGGATGGCACCTGAACGGGATTTCGTCGATTCCACGTTTAATCGCGGTAGAGAAACATCCTCCGTCGCTCGCCTTGATGGCCCTTCTCAGTTTACGCGTCTCGCAACCGGTTCCTCCCTGAGAGTAGTGCATACTGGGTTAATTTATTTGACCCGCCGACTACGCTCGCTTCCAATTAGCCTCCGCAGCATTAAATAGGCAGTCCTTTTATACACGCGTACGGCCCTCGGCAAAAATATAGGATCATCGTGTGATCCCGGTCGAATGTCGCGGCTATTAATAGCAAAGACTCGTGTGCCCCTGC